TAGAGGATTACCTTCATGACCTTTGTATGTAGGCAAAGATTTCTTCAACAGGACACAAAAATGCTAACTATTTAACAAAAGACACCACTGAGAATGCAAAAGTAAGCTACAGAGTAGAAGATAATCTGCAATACATAAGGACTACAAATCACTACGAAAACACAGACAGCCTCATAGAAAAATAAGCAGTATCTTGAATAAGAATTCATAAAGGTTATCCAAATGGCTAATAAGCATTAGGAAAGGTATTCAATATCATTAGTCATAAGAGAAATGTAATTTAAAGCCACACAGAAAGGCTACTAAAATGAACAAATAATACAACATTCTGGCAAGGATGTGGACCAACCAGAACCTCTCATATGCTGTTAATGAGAGTGAAAACACTGGTGCAACTGCTTGAATTTTCACTAAAAGATCTGTACGGTAATACAACAGTAGTATTTGTAACAAGAGAAACTAGGAATCACCCAAATATTTGCCCACAGTAACTCTTGGGAAGGCAAGGCAGTGGAGAGGAAAAGTGAATGGAAGTGGACGTAAGGGACTTCTGGAGTAGAGTTCCAGTAGTGTTTGTGAAGTAACTCAGCTGTATGTACACTTACGATTTGTGTACTTTCCTATATGCATGTTAATATCTCTAGAAGGACAGCCAACACAACAAAAGAGAAGATATAAAAAGTTTTATATGCTATACTTATTATTTCTCTCTAATCTACTTGGCTTGTTGTGTACTAAAGCAAAGCAAATGCTCATTTTTTCAGAATCAAGTTAGCTGCTTCTTAGAATCATGAGTTCAAATAGTTGCTAATTAATTCTCTTAGAAAAAAAAATTTTTTTAACTTCCCTAATAACTTCGTTAGGGTACTGGTTATCACTCACGAATTTTCTTCCTACTCCCACAATCTTTAAAGATGGACTCCACATTTATGTCAGTCCTTTTCTAATCTTTCAAGGCTTTTCGCATCCTTCCTAAGTTTGTAATTCACCATTTGAATTACAGCAAATATCTCAAGTTATACTGTCAGGACATTTACTGAAAATAGTAAGCATACTTAGTTATAAGTCTATTTCCTGTGAAAACAAAAAACTCTGATTCCACAGTAGTAGGGTTCCTATTTAAACAAAGTGGTCTTCCACAGGATTTGTAAATTATATTAACAATGCCAGAACTGCTTTTTTAGACCTCAAAAACAGCAAACAAGTCTTATCAGTAATGATAGGCACAAAGCAAACATAATGAATTTATCCCACACATAAGAGCCCAAGACCTTATATTTAAAACCAATTGAAAAACATCAGCACAACAGATAATTATTACATTGAACTCTTAGCACTGTTAACTAATAATATTTGACGTTTTCTTTTTAAAAAAGACTCATTTTTGTCAATTTTTTTTTAAATGAAAAACTGGCAGGATCAGAGTAGACTATGAAATTTCAAAGTGTGGTTTTGATGTCTGTATGTATGCTAAAATTATCATGCGTTTTAAGTTTTAACTTTTATATTCTTAACTAATGAGTTTTGGAAATCTTTTTTTTTTTTTTAAAGATTTTATTTATTTATTTGATTTTTTTTTTTAAAGATTTTATTTATTTATTTGAGACAGAGAGAATGAGAAAGAGAGAGCACATGAGAGGGGGGAGGGTCAGAGGGAGAAGCAGACCCCCCGCTGAGCAGGGAGCACGATGTGGGACTATCCAGGGACTCCAGGATCATGACCTGAGCCGAAGGCAGTCGCTTAACCAACTGAGCCACCCAGGCGCCCTGGAAATCTGTTCTAAAAGATTAGGTGTCCAAAATTTCATTCTCTACTCTTCTTTGCATAACAGACAAAACCAATGTTCTCTAGATAAATTAGATAAGTGTTTCTTGACTAAGAAAAACTCAGTTCAGAGAAACCAGTGTGAGAAATAGGACAGTAGTGGTGACAGGCACCTTCTAACAAAGCCATTCTTGGGGGGATAGTTCCCATAATAAACTACTTTGCTCAAGTTTGGATCAGCTGGGTTCTTTCAAAATTAATTATCTTTATTTATACAATCTTTGAATACCAGGGATATAACAGGTAGATACCAGAATATACTAAGACAGAGATGGACCTTGACTACTAACTAGAAGTCAGGGTAACTACACAGTGAAATGTGCATTCAGCTCTCTGAGCAATTTCTGAAAGTGAGACTCTTCCTTAAGTTCCAAATGTCAGTTTCGTTCTTTTGACTATTAAAAAGAATGATCGAGAATCTTCTACATGGTGACTCTATTTATCTAGTCCTCTGACTATCCTAATATTATGAGGTCATATAATGCTGTATTTTTCAAACTGATTAGTGAGGGTCATGAAATCATTTTTTAGTAGGTTCTAACTAACATTAAGAAAAAAAAGAACTAAAAAAAAATCAGAGTACATTGTACATGAAGGTTAAGTATAGTCTTGTGAATATTTTGTTATAAAAATTTATGTATGTATATGTAGTATTTCGTGTATCTACATACTTAACAGGTGGTGATAAAAAAATATTCTTAAAAAAATATTCTTGAGTTATGGTCACACTTCAAAAGCCACAGATATAATGGGCTTTATTATACTTTTATTAATTGTTACATACGAGGTCTCAACAAAATAATTCTTTATTCAGAAGTTAGGTCAATCTTTAAGACTAGATATCATATAAAGACCATTCTGCTTAGTTGAAAGCAACAATTTCTTATAACAGATTAATAAACTCTGGCAAAATACACTGCCTGGTTGATATTTTAATATATACATGTTGGAGGTAAGGATGATGAGACCAAAAGCAGAGCAGTGTTTCTACATACACAGAATTAGCTTTCAGCTACCCCTGACCTACTGGTTGTGTACGTGGTAAGCCCCTATGAGAGCAAATGTCCATTCACAACATGAAATAAAATTAAAGAGGAAATGAAAGTGAATCTAACTTCAATTAGATAACCTTACAGATTTCACTACCAACTTCCCATAAGGCACATGACCCACATCTGAATTTCTCAGGAAATTCATTAATTGATACAAGGACCTCACTGAACAGATACAATGAATATACTACTGTATTTTCAGAAAGCAGAAGAATACAAATAAGGGAAAGAGGATCTCTGAGTGTTAAGAAAGTTGCAGGTATCTACATAAGAAGGCATAATAAACCCTTAGGAGAACGGTGCTTCCTGTACCAAAGTAAAACTAGCAACAACTTGGGGCGCCTGGGTGGCTCAGATGGTTAAGCGTCTGCCTTTGGCTCAGGTCATGATCCCAGGGTCCTGGGATCGAGCCCCGCATCGGGCTCCCTGCTCGGCGGGGAACTTGCTTCTCCCTCTCCCTCTACTGTTCCCCCTGCTTGTGCTCTCTTGCTCTCTCTATCAAATAAATAAATAAAATCTTTAAAACAAAACAAAACAAAACAAACTAGCAACAACTTCTAACTATAGTAATATAAATTACCAAATGTAGGTGGACCAGTCTATAGGAAGTTAAGCAACTCTTGACCAGTTACAGCAATATTTCACCAGATGGAAGTCACCCCATCACCACTGACTACATTATTCCAACAGGACTGGAACCTAATTCTATTCTCCTTTTTGCATTACCGATCTTCTCTCCAGAGTCCAAAAAAGCACATGGAGCAATGTTTGAGAAACCAATTTGGAAAACAGGAGGAAGTCATATGAGTTCTTCAGTGTACAGGGGACAAATACCAGATCCCACCAAAGAATATCCAGCATTCAATAGCAATTAACTGTAAGACTAATGACCCACTAAATTTTTTAAAGGACACAAGGAAAATGCCCTGCCTTCTTAACTTTTAATTTTCTTGAAGGACCGTAACATGTAAATATACAAATCTCTTTTCAAAACTCTCCAGTGTTACCATTTCAATCTGAATAAAATCTAAATCCTTGCAAGACCTGATGATGTCCTTATGATCTGGACCTACATCTACAACGTTATTTCCTGTCACTTTCTCTCTTACCTACTCTATAATGGCCAGAACAATTATATGAAAAAGTGTTCAACATCATTATTTTTCATGGAAATGCAATTTAAAATTGAGATAAAGCGGTAACACTACAAATGCAACAAAATGGACTGACAATATCAGGTATAGGCAAGGATGATGAACAGCAGCAAACTTCTCACATTTTGAGTAGGAGTATAAATTTCTAAAACCATTTTGGAAAAAGGCTTGGAAGGGGCTACTAAATCTAAACATACATATACCTGATGATACAGCAATCTCATTCCTAGATATAAACCCCAAAGAAATTAGTGCTTACATTTACCAAAAGACATGTACAAGAATATGCAATGCACTTTTATTTACAATAGCCCTCAAATGGAAGCAACCTAAATATCCACCAACAGTAGCACAGGTTAATAAATTGTGGTCTATTCAGACAATGGAATACTTCATAGTATTACAAAAGAATGCTACAATGCAACATGGATGAATCTCACAGACATAATATTGAGGGAAAGAAGCTGGACACAAAAGTGCACATACTGGATAATTCCATTTACATTAAGGTCAAAACCAGGCAAAAATAATCTGTGGTGATGGAATAGTTGTTTTGTTGGTTTGTTCTGAAATGGAGGTATTAAATGGGAAGATGCATGAGGGAGACTTCTAGGTGCTGGAAATGTTCTATACCTTAATCTAGGTATAATCTAGTAGTTATGTAAGTGTATCCACATGGATAATTTCGAAGAGTTGTACATTTAAATTCCATGTAATTTACAGTAAAATTATATACAAAATACATATTAAATATACACACATGCACAAACACGCCCCCATACACATACAAAATGTCTATGAAGTGATAGTGAGTTATAACTCAGTACACTGCTCCCACTCCTCTAGGAACTTGTGGCTCCATGAGGCCATCACTGACTTTATTATGACTTTATTATTACTTTTACTGACGCAAAGAGAAGGGAAGTGAGTACTACATCACGGATAGCTGATGGTGAAGTAAGTGCTTACCTTTAACAAAGGGCAGCTGCAAAGGTTGGGAAAGGAGAGTGGAAAATTAACCCCAAGAAGGAAATCCTTGTTTCTCAGATATCTCTGCTGGCTCTCCCCTTCTGGCTCTCCCCAGGAGCGCAGCTGATGGAGCCTGTAGGAGGCTTTCAGAGACAGGAAAAGAGCTAACCATCTGAAACAGACCACAGCAGACATGCTTATTCAGTGCTCCATGGAGGTTTGAGGGTAGTTCAGAGCAGTGAGGAACCTTGTCTTTCATTCATGTGTCTCTTTTGTACATCTTGAGCATTTTAGAAACAGTTCTTTCCTACTTTCAGATAAAGCCATTTCACACTTCTCTTCTATAAATTGTCTTTGGCATGACTTGGTTTGCTACTATGAAAACTAAAATCCTCCATAAAGCTCCACTCAGTGTTAAAGAATATCTAACTCTATCACAAAAATTCTATTATAAAAACATCCTCATATTAGGGAGACAGCCTTTTCTAACAAGGTCACTGTTTATTACATAAATACAAAATAATAACATAAGTGAAAACCATTATTCCAAAGGAAAAGAACACAGAAGTAAGTTTCCCAGAATAGTTAAGGCAGGCTATGCTGCAATCACTACCAAGTAAAGGACTCACTAGCCACACTCTGCCTGCAGAAGCAAATACAACATAGGAGACTAACTAGAAATTAAGGAGACTTAAAGACCTTCTGGTAGCATTTGGGGGTTGAGCCTAAATAATTTTTACTTAAGGTATATCATGAAGCATCATGCAATTATTAAATGATCAAAAGAAAATTATGATTCCCTTATAAAAATTTTTACTCTTAACGAGAAAAAAATAAGAGGCTTGCTAAGATAATACAATATTAAGTATTTAGTTTCACAGTTCAAACTCTCTCTCTGTTTATTCCCAACTGCTCTCTCATCAAATTAAGCAAACTTCTCACCTGGCCAAAAGTCCCTGAAGCATGAGGTTTGCCATTTCTACTGGAGATACATCAATAAAGCGAAGGAAGGAGAAACAGCTTTCTTCATTAACACCTGGAATATCAAAGGACAAAGTTAAACCCAACACTAAGCCAAGAGATAATAGTCAACTAAAGCTACTAAACTGCTGTCTTTTTATTTAAGAATGAAAAGATATCTAAAGGTTTCAACCCAGCCACTATGATGGAAGTCAGGGTGTCATATTTTTGTACTACAGTTGCAAGTGGGAGAGGCAGACCTATGAGATATGGCATACATGGACCAGAGGGGAGTTGGCGCATCAGCTGCCTTTGGGCTTTTTGGATCCTTGGCTAATCACCTTTCTCTTTTTATCACGGAAGGAAAAAGAAAAGTATAAAGTTAGAAGATTCTGAAACTTTGCCTAATACCAGGGACAATGCTCAAAGGTAAGCTGCTCCTTTCCCTTAGACTAAGGATGAAGGAACTAAGTCACATTAATGAAAGTCCAGCATTGTCTCTGTCAAGTTTCAAGGGTGTAAGAAACTCTTAAGAGGCAGGTATAAAATAAAGATGGAAGGTCAATGTAATAGTTGTTAATTGCTTCCTGTTATAGCCACAAATCATAGCATCTATAGATGAAGACAACTAATTTACTTAAAGCTTATCAAGACTTATTTAGATCCAGCATGCAGGCAAAACCACTGCTAGTTGAGTATCAGTCATTCAGCAAAACAAAGACCATTCTGGTAAACCCTGGCATAATTTCTTTCCCAAAAATCAAAACACCTACCTTTTCTGTGAAAGAGAGACTGCTGGATATAGTCTGGTGCAAATGGAGAAAGAAGAACCCTTAACCACCTGTAAAATCAGTAAATAAAATAAAATAAATCCAAATATAAAAATATTGGGAACTAGATTAGAGGTCCAAAACTAAAAAGAATCTTTTAGATTTCAAACTGTTTTCTACTTTAAAGAGGTCTGTTGCCTTATTACCAGGCAAAAATCATGGCATAAATGTCAGACAGTACTAAGTAATTAATATAGATATAAGAAAGTAATACAAGTTCAAAGTGGTCTCATTTCATTTCAGAGAATCACAATTCAAAGCTCTAAGTTACCATATACCATATGAAACAAACAGCACTATAGCTCTGGTCTGTTTCCCCCTGCCCATCTAGTTGAGTAATAGTCTGGAGCTATCACAGACTATATTTTTAAAAATATTTATTTATTTATTTTAGAGAGAGAGAGAGAGAGAGAGAGAGAGAGAGAGAGTGGGAGCAGGGGCAGGGGGAAAGGGAGAGGGAGAGAATCTCCAGCAAACTCCTAGCTGAGCGGGGAGCCCGACATGGGGTTTGATCCCATGACCCTGCGATCATGACCTGATCTGAGATCAGGAGTCGGACACATAATCGACTGAACCACCCAGGTGCCCCACAGACAAAGAAGTCTTAAAATTAAACCCAAGGGGTGCCTGGGTGGCTCAGTCATTAAGTGACTGCCTTCGGCTCAGGTCATGATCCCAGGGTCCTGGGATCGAGCCTCACATCGGGTTCCCTGCTCCGTGGGAAGCCTGCTTCTCCCTCTCCTACTCCCTCCGCTTGTGTTTCCTCTCTCGCTGTGTCTCTCTCTGTCAAATAAATAAAATCTTAAAAAAAAAAAAAATTAAACCCAAGAAATGTGTCTCAACTTCAGTTTCATTAGGCTAAATATTGTTGATGATTATTTTGGTAATGCTGCTTATATTATTTCTCTACAGAAAGAACTTTCTAAATCCATGATTCTCAAATGTTGATGTACACAAGAATCCTTTGGGAGCTTGTTAAAAAAAATCCAGGAGCCAGGGATAGCCTCATTCCCAAGTGTAGAATGGACCTACACACATTTTCTGAATGGAACTGGTCTCTAGCGTATTATATTAACAACCACTTCACCTTTAACCAAATCTGTCACTGCTGATTCTGGCAGGAAGGTAAATTTGATTAATCTGAAATCCAATCAGTTCTCCCACAAGTGCTATTGCAAGTATAAAATAAGCCACCGCAAAACAATTTCAGTACTAGAGCAGAGACATATGATGATCTCTCTTGGTACAAGTACACATTTGCACACACGTGCACATTTCTCAATCAGAAAAGCAACCAGAAGTGGCTAGAGCTATTAAGGTCATCCAATTAAACCCTGATACTGCACAGATTCCTACCACAACGTTCCCCAATAAATAGGTGTCCACCTTATACTTAAATACCTCATTGTTGGGGAACTCAAACACTCTCCACTAAACCCCAAAATCACTAAGCCACAAAACCCCAAATTACAAAAACACCCTAGAGTGAACAGATATTAATATGTGCTCACCTGTCACGTGAATGGTTGAAGACCCTGATCTGTCCATGACGGTAGATAAACTTTGAAATCTGGTATGGCTTTAAGGAAATATGAAATGGAGACCAAGTTTCTTGTCGTTCAAATAACTCTGGGTGATTACACACCTAAGAGGAAGGAAAATGACAAGACACCACTGTCATGTGCAGACATCACTCTCAGAAATCATGGGGAATCCCAAACCCTGAATGTTTGCTTTTGTGAATATATACTTTCTCATTTCCTCTCTTTTTAATAAATAGCCTTTATCTGACCTAGGTTAGAGCCTTCTTCTTGAAATGGGTTAATGAGACAACTCCAAGGCAGCTGACCTAAAATCTTACCTTCCTAAACTGCATGACCAGATTCATGAGGCTGCTGGTGGTGGTCTGTGCTTGCTGGGTAGAGCCCATAGAAGACTGCAATAAATCCTCAATAGAAATTTTGTTCTTTAGTGCCTGATACAGAAGCTTCTGTCGGCTGGTCAGCTGGCAATACATGAGAATCTCAATCTAAAAATCAATAAGGATATTTATATTTTGAAAACCAGTTTCTAAGAGAAATCAGTATCAGCCTAAGAAACACATGCAAGCCAGATTATGACTGAACAGACAATATACCTATCTCTAGAAACTCAGTATCTCTATAAGCCTGGGATGTGGCTGATTATCCAGAAAAATATTCTTTTCTTGACACTCTTCCCTGTCACTCACTTTACATGCTGTCCCTGAGAAATCTCTTCCATTTTCAATAGCACCAACTGCTATCCATTGCAGTGACTTGCAAAAATATTTTCCCTACCATTCCCAGCCCCATATTTTTTCTTTTCTTTTTTTTTTAAGATTTTATTTATTTATATTCATGAGAGACAGAAAGAGGCAGAGGGGGAAGCAGGCTCCATGCTGAGCAGGGAGCCTGACATGGGGCTCGATCCCAGGACCCTGGGATCATGACCTGAGCCGAAGGCAGTCGCTTAACGACTGAGCCACCTAGGCGCCCCTTTTCTTTTTTTTTTTTTTAAAGATTTTATTTATTGCGGCGCCTAGGTGGCTCAGTCGTTAAGCGACTGCCTTCGGCTCAGGTCATGATCCCAGGGTCCTGGGATAGAGCCCCGCATTGGGCTCCCTGCTCCGCGGGAAGCCTGCTTCTCCCTCTCCCACTCCCACTGCTTGTGTTCCCTCTCTCGCTGTGTCTCTCTCTGTCAAATAAATAAATAAAATCTTAAAAAAAAAAAAAAAGATTTTATTTATTTCCCAGCCCCATATTTTCAACTACCCACTATAATGGTACCAGAGAGTCAGTGGGGGAAAAAAAAAATCTTTTCTATAATTTACTAAATTGATTAACGGCATTACCATTCACTCAGTTACCCAAAAAGAAATTTCAACCAGCTCTGATTTTTCTTTCTTTCTCATGCCCATGTTCTATCACTTCCTAAGTCCCGCAAATCCACCTGGAAATTAACCTCTAATTATCATCCTTTCTGACCACTCTCATTGTCTTACTGCAGACTCTCATCATACCTAATCTAGAAGGCTACTATCTGAGGGGGTAAGGGGGAGTGTCTTCCTGCCTACAGTCTTTACTGGTTCTAAGAAACTTTCCATACAAGTCTTATAAGGTGATTCCAACTGCTGAAAAACCTTCAATGTACATTTATTGCCTATATTAACATACTAAAAATTCTCTGGTGGGCAGAGAAGGTTTCCCATACTCTAACCAACCCTACTGTCCCAGTCTCCTCATCACCATGTCCTCCTATATACCCTAGCAACAATGCTCTGAGTAATGTTTGCTAAACATGCTGCATATTTGAATGTTGCTCTACCTTTGTTCACCTTGCTCTTGTTGCCTAGCATCTGCTTCCTTACATATTTTCCTAGTAGATGCCAATTCATTATTCCAGACCTAGCTCACATGTCATCTCTGCTTTGATGCCTTCTCTAACCTTCCCTAACAGAACTACTCCCTTATCTGTGTTCCCATTATACTTCACATAGACAATCACTATCTCTCTTATGATACAATATTAGTTAGTTATGTATTCATCTCCCTTGGAAATCTGAATGGAACCTGGACACTGTATCTTTATATACCAATGGCTAGCAAGCAATTAGAGTTTAATAAAGAAATATATTATTTAAAAATAGATTAGAAACAATACTGATGTTTAAGAAATCTTAAGGAAAATACTATGCACAGTGATTAAACCATACTACATCCTCTGATCACCTCCATACTCACGACCAAATAACAGAAATTATGACACTGCTATCATTTTTTAAGCCCTTTCTGATATAAAAGGATTCACTGTTTTATAAAGTATTTTCCTTCTATCAGGTGTATCTGTGCAACACTGCTATCTAGTTATAATCAGCCAGTTTCACAAAATAGTCATCAAGATTTCTTTAAAAATAAATAAAACAAAGGTACAAAGGTACTTTTCACTTTAAAGGTGTACATCCCCACCACAATCTTTCAAGGAGAGTTACTAATTTCAAAATAATCTAACCTTTTGGCAGTGATAGAGCAGAACCACCTGATATTATTATCAAGAACACTGAAAGATGACTTTTAGGTAGAGAGTAGAATTGTGAGAAATAGGTGGAATCTATGGAAGATGGGGGAAAACTCTGAAGAACTGGGAGGAAAAAAGGAAGAAAGGAGAATATGGAGAGGATTCACAAGAGATAAGAAAAAAAAAACAATGGGGGGGGCGCCTGGGTGGCTCAGTCGTTAAGCGTCTGCCTTCGGCTCAGGTCATGATCCCAGGGTCCTGGGATCGAGACCCGCTTCGAGCTCCCTGCTCCACGGGAAGCCTGCTTCTCCCTCTCCCATTCCCCCTGCTTGTATTCCCTCTTTCGCTGTGTCTCTGTCAAATAAATAAATAAAATCTTAAAAAAAAAAAAAAAAAAAAAGGAAAAAAAACAACAGAAGTCTGGTAAGAATAAAAAAAAAAGATATTTATAAACCAAAAAAAATTTTTAATTTAAGATTTTATTTTTAAGTAATCTCTATGCCAAAGGGTGGGGCTTGAACTCACAACCCCAAGATCTAGCGTTGTACGCTCCACTGACTGAGCCAGCCAGGTACCCCAACAAACCAAAATTATTGGCTTAGTATGAGGAAAAAATATTAAAACCCGAAGCACATTAAACTTCTAAATCTAATTCTTAGTTTACAGAAATACAGGAGACCACAGAACATGTTAGACAATACCACAATGATGCAGTTAGCAAAATCCTACATGTGGGAAACTCTACAGGACAAATAACTCAGTTTCTTCAACAAGGGAAAAAAGTAGGGAGGGACTAAAAGATTTATTAAGACACATATCACCCAAATGCTATGTGTGGGCCTTGCTTGGATTCTGATTTCAAAATCTTTAATTCTTTTTTTTTTTAAAGATTTTATTTATTTGACAGAAAGAGACACAGTGAGAGAGGGAACACAAGCAGGGGGAGAGGGAGAGGGAGAAGCAGGCTTCCTGCGGAGCAGGGAGCCGGATATGAGGCTTGATGCCAGGACCCCGGGATCACGACCCGAGCCAAAGGCAGATGCTTAACGAGTGAGCCACCCAGGCGCCCCAAAAATCTTTAATTCTTTAACAGAGAAAGAGAGAGGCAGGGAACAGAAGTTGGAGGGAGAGTGAGGGAAGAGAGAGAAACACAAAGACAAATGGGGATAGCTGAGCAATGACTGGATATGTGATAGTATAATGGGATTATTGTCTCTTTTAGCAGAAGTAATAATATATGGTTATATATTTTTTTAAAAAACTAAATTTTTAAAAAGACTAAATCCTTAAAAAAAAGACTAAATATTTTAGAGATACAGATGAAAATATTTGTAAATGAAATAAAAGACATCTGGGACATGCTTCATAATAATCTAGAGGGATGGGGATGGAAATGAGTTAATCACTATTGAAGCTGTATGGTGGTTACAAGAGGATTCATTATACTATTTTTCTACTTTTGTAATGTCTCCAATTCACCATAATAAAAAGCATAAAACAAAAAGAAGAAAAAATATTACCTGTCTTGGTTGTTTGACTCATTTTAAGTCTTCTTGGATCCACTCAAGTTTAATGGTCTTCTCTCAAACTAATCACCCTTCAACTAAACATTTACCAAGTAATTTTTTTTTTATCCTGGAACCCTAAGGTGGTGTCTATTAAGGCTTAAACTAATGAAGTCTTCTTTCCTTACCTTGTCAGACAATTCATTTTCTACATCTTTCTTGATTCTCCTCAGCATAAATGGCTTCAAGATCATGTGTAATCGAGAGAGTTGATCTGAAATGCCAGGAGGCCCCCCCAACAAATAATACATTATATTGACTTAACACAAACAAAAGAAATATCATGATCATCTCTCACTAAACTGTTCTTACACCTTTTGGCTTAGTGAACCTCTGAAAGAAGACTAAAACTTAATCTTTTTGTTAAGTAGGAAACCAAGGAGTCTGAATTTTCATAGCACCCGCCTATAGTCTATAGGGCAAATGCATTTTTCTATCATTTACTCAGACCAACAAGGACCCCTTTATTATTATTAGAATTCACTGTTAGAGTGTTCTAAGATCACTTTATCAATAACAGAGTTCTCATATAGGTGAATGAAGCTATCTGGGCCTCCCAGTGTTCCTCCAAAATCATATTTCTAAGTATGTCAGCAAATTAACAAATTGTAATATAAGAAATTACTTTAGAACTTTTCTAATAGGTGGTAGATGTCAGTTATGTCAATGTAATAAACACCTTGCAACTCTTATATTATTCAACAAGGTCAAAAGTATTGATAAATAATGCCTTAAACTTATGAGTAAGAAAAAGTATTGATAAATAAGTTTTAAAATATTCACAGTAGAAACAAATCCTAATATAGGAAGAAAATAACAAAAATAACCCCTCTCATATTTGTTTTTATCACAGGATAAAAACCTTACCTCATTCCATAAGGAATATAATTCTGATAGGAATTTTTCAGAATCTACATGGAAAATGAGGATTCTATAAGCCAAAATGTGGTACGTTTTGAACTCTGCCTGTTCTACCTTGATTAAATAGGCAACAGTACAGCACTATCACCTGTATGAATCCTTTTGGCTCTTTTAAACATGAACAAAGCATATAATTACTTTATAAGAGAAAAAACTCCCCCCCCGCCCCCTGCAGATCCTTCTATGAATACTGGAAGAAAAATTCTTTACATAGAAGAAAATATTCAATTATGTAGTTGCCTACACTGATAGGTAGAAAGAAAGAGTTCATAAAAGCACTCACTCTCATCAATGGCAGATTTGTTTTCGGCATGGCTCTCAATGTCCTTGGAAAACCATTCATTAAATTCCTCATGTGAATCAAATAATGTTGGCATAATGAAATGTAGCAGAGCCCAGAGCTGGAATCAGAAGAAATGTGAAATAATTGTAGGAAAACAAAATGACAGTGTGTGAGGATATGATGAGGGTTTGGAGAGCGAAAGTTGCAGGTGTGTGTGAGTCTGTGTCTAGGAACAGCTGTAAGTGTGGGCAAGAGGGTGAAAAAGAATGAGTGTGTAAGCACATGCCTCATCAACCAACCCTTATTTTCTAAGATCTTAGAGGAAAATGAGATTATTTTTCAATTAATTTCAAACTGAAAGTACAAGTCCTGCTCATATTGCAATGGGATAGTTTTAAAGATCTTATATATTTAAAAAACCCACTTCACAACCGAACACAATCTGAAGTAGCATAACTTGCTAATAATAACTCTTAATCGGGGGTCAGGAAATTATGGCCTACGATGCCAAGGCTGGTCTGCCAGCTACTTTTATAAATAAAGTTTTAGTGGGATATAGCTACACCTATTCCTTTATGTATCGTCTATGGCTGCTTTCACATTAGAATGCCAAGGTTGAGCAGCTGCAATAGCAACTATATGGCCTGTAAAGTCTAAAATATTGACTATCTAAAAAAAATTACTATCTGGCTCTTTATAGAAAGTTTTCTGACCCCTGTTCTAGATGATCAATTATCTTTTCTAAATAAGGAATTTTAGCTCCTCTCAGTGCCAAAGATTATTACCTTTTCATTCTATCATAAAAACATCCCTGCATTAGATGGGTAGCATTTCTAATGTGGTCACTATTTATTCCATAAATACAAAGGAATACATTCATTTATTTGCCTATGCCAGAGAATAAGAAAATAGGAATGATGCTCAAAAAACCCATTTAGGGCAAGCTATGGTCAAATTCTTCCTTTTATGTGGGGATTATAATTTGTACAGAGCAGTAATGTTCCAGGTGGGCATGGGAAAGAGTTCTATTCTGTGCCAGAACCATTCTGTTTAATGCAGACATAAAACCGAAGCCTTTACTAATGCCTACCTCTGCCATGGTGTTCTGAATTGGGGTCCCAGTTAGCAAAAGCCGATTCCGACACTGGAACTGCAAGAGAATCTTCCAACGAACACTGTTCAGTAAAATGAATTACAAATTCCAAGTTAGCAGTAAATATTTCTTCACCCTACTAAGACCCTGTATTTCTAAAAATGCTTTCCAAAAAAATTCCAAACACCCAGAATCAAGTACTCCACCATGTACACATTGAAAAATATTATTCAACAAAGCCGAGGACAGAAAATGACTCCTATATACTAAAAACATGGTATTAGGATTTAGAAAAAACAGCCCTCAAATGGGCAGAGTAGGATCCTTTCTGGCTTAACAAAGTGCTCTATTACCTTTGGTCAGTTTTGTTGACACAAGCTTTTTAATTATAAGGTATTTATCTGTAGTAGAAAGCTTTATAATTCTTAATCTCTGTGCTTCCAGTGTGAGTTTAGAGAGATCAATGGAGAAAGGGGATAGGTGTCAGAAGAAAATGCAAAATCAGTATATTGCTCCCAGCAGTAAGCTTGTCCTACTTCAAAAGAGTATAATATGAAGTAATGTCCGTCAGAGGACAGAATGTACTATCCATCTTGTCAGTTAAAATGGAACTCTAAGAAAGTCTTATGGGCTCACCAAGAGTTAATAAAAATGCATTCAATGCAACATTTAATACCACTCAGTAACCCTTTAACATCAAGCAATGACTTACTATTCAGTTTGTCACTTTGAAGGTAATACAATATTTTAAACATGTAACTTCCAATAAAAAGATCTTGGGGCTCTAATAACCAATCAGGGACTAGGACAACCTGATAAAACAGACAGAACCTACAATGTATATAATGTAATATTCCACTTCCTACTAAGACCTCCTGTTCAAAATAATCCCTGAATCAAAGGGCAGACAAGCCTTCTCCCACAAAAATGTTCCTTGAAGAACAAAGATCTATTAAGATGCAATAAATATTGAGTAGAGAAACAGAAGTTAAGAAAATCCCTTGTACTCTAAACATTAATATATTTGTATTCCATATAAAATGCAAAAGGGAATTTTTGCCTTCTGTTCAGATACATGGTATATGCAGAGACCATATCATGCCATGTTTGGAAACCTCTCTGATCTTTATTCATCTGTGTGTATACATATATCATAAGTCTATATCCTATATCTATATATCTATACAGTCTTAGTTTACAGAGTTTGGTGTCTATTAATCATGTTACCTGGAACTACTCTTGAGTGCCTGAGCCTCATCCAATACCATGTACTGCCACTTGACACGCTGGAAATACTTTACATCCTGCACCACTAGCTGGTAGCTGGTGATAACCACATGGAAGGGGGCATCCTGAGTGTAGAGGGTCTTCTGTAAATATAAGAAGGGAAGAATGGAAATAGATACCTAATAATTCATAAGATAATGAGGAATGGATTTTATTTTCTAAAGCTAAGAAGTTTAACATAGTCCTACTAAAGATGTGCTTCTCCCACGTCATAGATGTGCAGTGAATTAAACCATAACTGTTTTTAAAGTACTCACCTTAATTACAGATCATGTTAAACATCAGTCTTCAGCTTATTTAAGAGTTCTTACTTAATCCTGGACTTTTAAGTCCAACTGATGGTCTATAATGGGAAAAGTGTTATAGAAGGAAAAAAGTGCACTTGTCTAGTGTCTAGAAATATATGTAAGATTTTATACACCAGAAGTAACTCAAATAAAATGGAGAAATGATTGCATATTAATGTGTGTGTATATACACGGGCATATGTGTATATGCAATAAACTGAAAGTTACCTGACTCCAGAACCTTCTGATAACTTTTCTATCATGAGGATTTCCCCAATATGGTAGCACCTGGAAAAAGGACCATCATACAGATTATTTCCTACTTGTAATCTTAAAAGTATCATCACAAATGTTATTCAGAATGATTTTAAAAGAACCTGAAGAATGAATATAGGAATTCTTCTGTCACTGCCACTAGTATTCTTCCTGCTGATTGAATTAAAACACACATAGAGGGGTGCCTGGGTGGCTCAGTCATTAAGCGTCTGCCTTCAGCTCAAGTCATGACCCCAGGGTCCTGGGATCGAGCCCCACATTGGGCTCCCTGCTCCGTGGAAAGCCTGCTTCTCCCTCTCCCACTCCCTCTACTTGTGTTCCCTCTCTCACTGTGTCTCTGTCAAATAAATAAATTAAAAAAAAAAAAAAAACCCACAGAAAACATTTATGAGAAGGCATCAGAAAGCTACCATGGCAGAGGAGAATTACAGAGTCAAGATCCAGAAAAGAAAGTCCGTCCAGAAAGTAAAGCCTGACACCTGGTACATGTCTTTCCTAAAGGTGTTGATCTTTCCCAAAAGTTCTAGCTGAAAAACTAAGAAATTGAACAGAGTATTTTTTTTTTTAAGATTTTATTTATTTATTTGACAGAAACACAGTGAGAGAGGGAACACAAGCAGGGGAAGTGGGAGAAGGAGAAGCAGGCTTCCCGCCGAGCAGGGAGCCCGATGTGGGGCTCGATCCCAGGACCCTGGGATCATGACCTGAGCCCAAGGCAGACGCTTAACAACTGCACCACCCAGGTGTTCACCGCCCCCACCCCCCTGCCTTTTTTTTAAGAGATCCAGGGCCTACAGAACAAAAACTGGAGTTCAAGGCGAAGGATTATGATAACCACCCACTGGGAATCACAGGATACATGCCCACAGGCAATAAAGGTCAACTACACATAGATGCGCCTTAACAAGTACTGAATCCCAGCTTTGAATCATCTCAATTCCTGACAGGATTAAAGTGGGGACTTTGAATTATTAGTGCACCCCCCAACCCCGCCCCACCAAATTACTACAGGCCAAAAACAAAACAAAACAAACACCACCAACCCAGAACACATATAAATCCTCTCTGGAAGAAGAAAACAGAGTCCACAATTATCTCTAGAATTTTTCCTATATAATGTCTGGTATACAATAAAAACACAAATAAACAAAACCAACAAAAAACCCTCAGACATATGGAAAGACTAGACCCCATGACTGAAGACTAACAGGAAAAACAGATATAGGAAATAAATCCAGAGGAGACTCAGATGATAAAAATATCAGAAACAGACTTTTTTTTTTAAATTTTTTTTTAAAGATTTTATTTATTTATTTGACAGAGGGAGACAGCGAGAGAGGGAACACAAGCAGGGGGAGTGGGAGAGGGAGAAGCAGGCCTCCCACCGAGCAGGGAGCCTGATGTGGGGCTCGATCCCAGGACCCTGGGATCATGACCCGAGCCGAAGGCAGACGCTTAACCGACTGAGCCAACCAGGCGCCCCCCGAAACAGACTTTTTAAGAAGATGCTAATTTGTTCCTGAAATTAAAAGATAAGCTTGGGAATTTCAGTGGTGTACTAGAAACTATAAAGTACCAAAGGGAGTTCTTTAGAACTGAAAATACAAAAACTAAAACTGAGAATTCAATCATGGGTTTAATGACAGATTAGATGCAGCTTAGAGAAAAGCAGTAAAACATGGGGCATCTGGGTGGCTCAGTCGTTAACAGTCTGCCTTCAGCTCAGGTCATGATCCTAGGGTTCTGGGATCAAGCCCCACATGAGGCTCCCTGCTCAGCAGGAGGCCTGCTTCTCCCTCTTTCTCTCCCCCTGCTGTGTTTCCTCTCTTGCTATCTCTCTCTGTGTTAAATAAATAAAAATTTTAAAATCTTAAAAAAAAAAAAAAAGAAAGAGAAGAAAAATTTAAAAGAAAATTAGTGAAACAGATGATAGGTCAAAAGGAAATATTTAGATGAAACAAAAGAATGTAAAATTCAGCACTTCTTCTGTGCATCTCTAGGTGTCATTTTCTTTCAAAGTGCTTCCTGGATCTGTAGCTCGATGTTTTTTGTTGTTTTGAAAAATCTCACTCACAGTGAAGTATAAATATACAGGAAGAAATGAAGATCAATGAAAACAGTGAATAGGTAATATTAATGTATGTAAATAAATTTAAAATGTATAGATAATAATAACGCTCTGTGGGGCTTAGAAGAGAAAATATATACAAAAACAACAGCAAGTCTCTCTCTCTCAAATAAATAAATAAAATCTTTAAAACAACAGCAGCAGCAGCACGTAAGTCTTCAGAAGATGAATGTAGTTAAAGTATACTGGCACCTGGGTGGCTCAACTAGTTAAGAGTCCAACTCTGATTTGGGCTCAAGTCATGATCTCAGGGCTGTGGAGCCTGCTTAGGATTCTCTCTCTCCCTCTTCCTCTGCCTCCACCCCATCCCACTCACGGGCTCTCTCTACACTCTAAGAAAAAAAAGAAGCATACTAAAGCCTTTGTATGAAAGCAGTAACAGTATTAATTTATATTATACTTTTTAAAAAGTCAAGGATGCATGTTCCTTGACTCTTGGGTATTCTCCTGGGTATCTACTAAAGAATAAAATGAATATATAATTAGCAAGCTAAGAAGGAATGAAAAAGAGTAGTAAAATCTAATCAATCCACAGGACACAAGAAAGGACAAAAAGGAAAGTTACAGAAGTAGAAGGAAAGAAGTAGAAAACAAACAGCAAGGCAGATTTAAAATCCATGTTATCAATAACTACATTAAAAATCAGCATAATTATGGGGCGCCTGGGTGGCTCAGTTGGTTGAGCATCTGCCTTCGGCTCAGGTCATGATCCCAGCGTCCTGGGATCCGAGCCCCCCACGAGGCTCCCTGCTCATCGGGGAGCCTGCTTCTCCCTCTCTCTCTGCCTGCCTGCCCACTTGTGATCTCTTTCGGTCAAATAAATAAAGTCTTTAAAAAATAAAAATAAATAGAATTACAAACAAAGGCAAGAAAAAACCTTAAATGTAAACAGAATGGTTAAACGTAAAAGAAAAAGATACCACATAAAAACCAGAAGAAAGCTAGTCTATTTAATGCCAGAGAAAACAGGCATTAGGCAAAAAGCCTTAATGAGAGGAATTTCATAATAAAAGGTTTATCAGGAAGGTAAAAATAACTGTAAAATTGTATACAACTCACAGCCTCAAAATATAAAGCAAAATGGACAGAAGAAAACAGAAATGGATAAATCCTTAATTGCGGTAATTTTTAAAAATTTTTATTTATTTACTTGAGAGAGAGACAGAGAGTGCACAAGCAGGGGGAGGGGCAGAGGCAGGGGCAGAGGGACAAGCAGATTGAGATCATGACCCCAGCCAAAGCCAGACGCTTAACGGAATGAGCCACCCAGGCACCCCTGTGGTAAATTTTAACATACTTCTTTCAATTAGTATTTGGACAGGCAGACAAAAAAATCAGTAAAGATACAGAGGAGCTGAAATACACCTGACCTAATCAACATATATACAACGCTGCACTCAACAACTGCATAATACCTAATATCTGCAAAGAGATACAAGACATTTATATGGTGGACCATAAAAGAAAAGTTCAAAAAATTTCAAAGGATTAAAATCATAAAAAGCCTGTTTTCCTATCACAGTAGATTTAAGCTGTAAATTAGTAACAAGATACCTAGAAAATCATCCTCTGGAAATTAAGAACTACACTAATTTATTTAAGTAGGCCCCACACCAATGTGGGGCTTGAACTCACAACGTAGAGATCAAGAGTCACATAGTCTACCGACTGAGCCAGCCAGGCGCCTCAAGAACCACTCTTTTTTTTTTTTATTAAAGATTTTATTTATTCACTTGACAGAGAGCGCGGGTGCGCACAAGCAAGGGGAGGGGCAGGCAGACAGAGAAGCAGGCTCCCCGCTGAGCAGGCACCCCAAGAACCACTCTTAAATAAGCCATGAATCAAACAGAAGCTTGAAATAGAAGCTAGAAATTATTTTGAATTAAAGAATAATGCAAATGTGGCACATCAAACCTTTGGATGGCTATAGTCATGCGTAGAAAGCAATTAATACCCTTAAATACACTTGCTGGAAAAAGCTGAAAATCAACAATCTAAGCTCCATCCTGAGATGTTAGAAAAAGAAAAAGTGCACAAAAAGTAGATAATAATAACAAAAGACAGAGCAGAAATGAATGAAATAGAAAACACATAAAATAGCCAATTTCAGGAATGAAAATGGAACATTAACTATAGAAAAAATATAAACCATATTTCTTGGGAAAAAAGAGGAAGTCAGAGACACTGGTCATACTAGAATCATAAAACAACTGTTACTCAGATACCTGCCAAATAACATGAACTTTCAGATGTTATCATCATAGATCTAAATATCTTTTGAATGCACACTAACTATCAATCTAAGCAGAGTCTACATTTAACTACGTTCTGCAGGGAAGTGAACACATTTCTGACAATCTAAAGGAGTAACGGCAATAGGAACAATAAATCAATAGAGCAGAGGTCATCAAACCTTTTCTGTAAACAAGCAAATGATAAATATTTTCAGCTTTGCAGGCAATATGATCTCTGTCACAACTACTCAACTCAGCTGTTGTAGTGAGAATGCAACCATAAATAACACTTAAACAGAAGAGTGTGGTTGTCTTTCAACATATATGCATTTAAATTTCATATACCATTTGTTGTATTACTTTTTAAATCAACAGTTTAAAAACATGAAAACTATTTTTAGTTTGCAAGCTGTACAAAAAAACAGGTGGCAGATTCCTCAATGAGTTAAATACAGAATGACTTAGCAATTCTATTCCGAAGTATATACGAAAAGAATGGAAATGAAAACAGGACGGGTGTTCAAATGATAACCTGTACATGAAATGAATGTTCGTTAACAGTACTATTAACAATAGCCAAAAGGTGGAAACACCCCAAATACCATTGAGAGATAAATGGATAAACAAAATATAGCGTGTCCAGATAATTAAATATTATTCAGTCATAAAAAGGAATGACATGCTGACATGCTGAAACATGAAAACGTTATGCTATGTGAAAAGTCATACATAAAAGGCCGCCTATTATATGATTCCAGTTAGATGAAATACCCAGAATAAGCGAATCCAGAGAAGTAGACTTGTGGTAGCCAGGGGCTGGAGGGAAAGGGATTGAGTAAGAAGCGACTGCTTAATGGGGAAGAGGTTTCTGTTTGGGATGATGAAAAAATTCTGCAACCAGACAGCATCAATCATTGCACCACACTGGAAATGTACTTACTACTAGTAAATTATACACTTTAAATGTGACATTTTAGACATTTTTTGTATGTGTGTGGGTTTTTTTATTTTTATTTTTTAAAAGTAATCTCTACACCCAATGTGGGGCTTGAACTCAGGACCCTGAAATCTAGTTGGATGCTCTACTGACTGAGCCAGCCAGGTGCTTTCCCTATGTACGTGTATTTTATTACAATTTAAACAAAACAGGACAAATGAACATGGCAACTGGAATATGCCCACAGGCCATTTTTACTGACCCCCTAGAATAACAAAAGTAAGCTCAACATACAAATGAGCACTCAGTTCCAGGCACGGGCACAAAATCAAAGGAGAGGTATCAATGACATAAACAGTACTACATTGCCATCTAATGGTCAGTGAAGTTAATACCGAAAACTCAAGTGGCTCGGTGGAAAATTTTAAGACTTAATTTTTCAACTTCCTAATTGCTCAACATGTACTGGAAACGAAAGCAAAAATGAATGAATGAATGAATGAATGAATGAATGAATGAGAAAAAATATGGCAGCTCCATATTCCAACTGGCAAAGAATTCTAGAGAAAATATTCAACAAATTGCCTTAGAATCTCATCTTAGAAATTTAAAAATGAGTCTGTAAAGTTAAAAGCTATACACTTAATGTGCCTTGTAAACCATTTCTAAATCTACAATTCAGCCACATGGTGGGGCCACAGCCACAAAGGTATCCCAAAATGGAATATCTCAGATGTGTCCTTATTCCTTACAAAACATAAGCAAGAAAACATCTGACTCCACCTCCACCCTATCCTGTGCCCTTTAAACTGCATGGAACCCATGTATTATGGAGACCCCAAATCAGGAAGACCATAACAATAACTCGATATAGAATCTCCCTAAAATCCTCCTCACCGTGCAACTTCAACATCATTATATTACCTTAGGGACAGAACACATATTTAACTGATTTCACCATTTTTACTTGCAATATAATAAATCCTACCCATTCTTTTTTACATCCCAATAACTTTCCACAATTAAACCCTATTTAATAAATCTTACCCACATCCTACCCAACCTAGTGCAACATACTTCCCTGTCCTCAATCTCACTTCTTTTCCTCTGTATTAGTTAAAATCAACTTTCTTATTATCTACCTTAGACATAATCTGGACTAGGACTAAAGATCTGACTTTAGAGTATCATGAAAATGAATTATTTATGAATATGGGGGGGACAACAATGCCATAAATTACGTGATATGTGCCGTGATGATACGATTTGCCAAAATCTCTGGTAAGCCAATAACGTAGGTATTTTCTACTATGGCAGTTTGACCAAGAGTATCAATCCATGTGGCTAATGCAGCAAATCATTCAAATTGGACTTTGGCTTTCTCACTTATGAAACGTAAGGATGTAATATGCTCTCTTATTGCTCCCATCAGTAACTTTTTCTATTTTTTTTTTTAAGATTTTATGTATTTATTTGAGAGAAAGAGAGAGAGAGAGAACACAAACAGGGGGAGTAGCAGAGGGAATAGCAGAGGGAGAGGAAGAAGGCTCCCTGCTAAGCAGGGAGCCTGACACGGGGCTCAATCCCAAGACCCCAGGATCATGACCTGAGCCGAAAGCAGATGTTTAACCAATTGAGTCATCCAGGCACCCAGTAACTTTTTTTTTTTTTAATTAAAAGGTTTTGTTTATTTATTTGTCAGAGAGAGCACAAGCAAGGGGAGCAGCAGGCAGAGGGAGAAGCAGGCTCCCTGCTGAGCAAGGAGTCCAATGTGGGACTCGATCCCAGGACCCTGGGATCATGACCTGAGCCGAAGGCAGAGCTTAACCAACTGAGCCACCCAGGCCTCCCCCCAGTAACTTTTTTTTAAAAGATAAATATTTATTTTAGCGAGAGACCATGCACGTGGACGAGAGAGAGAGAGAGAGAGAGAGAAAGCGTGTGCACGTGCAGAGGGAGGGGTGAAGGGAGAGGGAGAATCTCAAGCACACTCCTTGCTGAGCATGGAGCCCAGGACCCTGAGATTATGACCCGAGCCAAAATCAAGAGCTGGACGCCTAACTGACTGAGCCACCCAAGCACCCCACCCATCAGTAACTTTTAAAGGGAATGTAATTCAAGTATCTTGGGGAAAATGCAAGAAATTCAAAACTCTTAGAGCAACTGAATAAGGCAGGCGGCAAAAGAAAAATCAGGAAGTTTATTTTAAAGAGCAACAAAAATTTTTGTTGGATTGATTTTTACCTTAAATTTAGGAACAAATCTAGTAAATTCCTGGTGCCAATTGTTAAGTGTAGAAGCAGGTGAAATTATTAAGAAAGGTCCCCAGATGTTCTCTCGCTGAAAGACAAAAACTGGGTCAGCTAACTGAAGGAAAACTGAAGATATTTAGTTCAAAATTATAATCAATGATGAGCGCAGTTTAAGAATAAATAATACATTATAATAAGAGAAATGGTGCCTAGCTCCCACATCTCCATACTCAGTAATAATATCCTATGTTAATAATAACACAGGCAAGGAATTTGCTCAGAAAAACCTTGAGACAAAATACCAAGCAATTACTCCCACCCCCACCACCTATAGGTCCTAATTTCTATCATTCACAAAGCACTTAAAATATCCTGACTTTAGTATTGCTTTCCCTTATACAAGATGATCATAACGATTTTGGAGCTTTTGCTTTTTTCAAAATGCTTCTACATATATTTTCTCATTTAATTCTCACAGAATTCCTACAAAGTAGATATTATCCCCACTCTGCAGAAGTAGAAACTAACCCTCAGAGAATTAAAGTGAAGTCAGAGCAAAAGAGATCAGATGAATTGCCCAAGTTTACATTGCTTATAGTCAACATAGAGTTCAGATGTGAACCTGGGTCTTCTGGTCTAACTAACTACAATGTCTTTGCCACAGTATGAATGGCTCTGGACAGGGGACGGGGCAATATGTCAAACCACACATTCTCAGTAACTATCCTAGTCTCGCAAACCAAAATGCTTCATCACACTGTGTCACGCTGTAATGATCTTGAAGGCAAGGAGTTAAGTCCTACTATCCTCATATGCTCCAAAGCCCAGCACAGTGCTAGATAATGGCTGATTCTCACCCCAGAATCTAGAGTGCGAAACATAGAAAGACTGCATCTACCCACCTCAGCCAAATGGGCCAGGAGGGCAATACTCTGCACTGTTTTACCAAGGCCCATTTCATCTGCAAGAATGCCATTAATGCCCTGGAAAAAAAAAATACACATAGTCAATAACCTCTCACATTCCATCACACAGGATTCAACCTACTGTCCCAAAGAACTAATCAAACTGTCAAGACTTATTTAAACAAAAGTGACTAGAAATACCATTTCAGCACTATTACCCACTGCTGCAATGATTCCTTTTGCCAACTCCATGGCTACAACTATGAATCATGGTATCTGAGGCTAGTTTCTCAGCAAATTTAATCCAGGCAAAAAACCAATCATGTTTACCAAGACCCCCCTATGTACGTGATACAAATATTCTCCAATAAAATTTCAGGTTAAAAATATAAAAACATCTTTCTGACTCTTGTCAGACGATAAAGCATTTCGAAGAGATGAAATTTAAAACATTGTCTTGTGCTCATTTCATAATGATTTTAGGAAAACACATAACGAAAGAGAGTGGGTATGGCATAGTTCTAAAATTCACCTGTTCATAGAGATTTGCCAACCAATTCATGCCTTTCAGCTGATAGCCTTTTAATTTGCCATTAAAAATTGTAGGCTGTGGAATATCTTCCCCAGCCCGGATAGATGGGTTTGCCAGGCTGTAACTCTCCCCAAACCCAGTGCCAGACTTGTTTGCTGCCCGAAGGGCAGCTGCTCGACTTTCTTTCGCATCTTCATCAAATGACCTTGTCTGGAAAATAAAAACATTAGAAGAAAAGTATGAGGTAAAAAATGAAATTCAAATAAAGCTCATAATGACAGTGTATCTACTTTGTGGTAACTGGAACAAAATTTCTGATAATATTATGTAATGTATTATGTATAAAGCACAATATATGAGGGGCGCCTGGGTGGCTCAGTTGGTTAAGCGGCTGCCTTGAGCTAGGTCATGATCTCAGGGTCCTGGGATTGAGCTCTGCCCTGCACTCCCTGCTCAGCCAGGAGCCTGTTCCTCCCTCTGCCTCTCCTCCTGCTCATGTTCTCTCTCTCTCTCAAATAAAAAACAAAACAAACCCCACAATATATGAAATATATGAAATATTACTAATATTTAAAACTTAATTTAACGATTATATTAAGAATATGCTTTTGATGAGCACACATATTACATGATTATAAACCATATTACATGACTACTTGCTTCATCAAGGAATGTGTTAAAAATCTGATATAAAATTTGTTTGGCTGGGGTTGGTGGGGAGAAGGTCAAGTTTATCCTGACTTGGATGCTGTTACATGGGGTTCCTATGCAGTATATTCTTTACTTACTTTACTTTACTTAATCTAACTGCAGTTTTCTTCTGATTTCATGAAATATCACTATATCAAGAATTAGCAAATTATTACTAAGGTGAAAAAAAGGTCCTAACATAGCACTATTCTTAAGGCAATGATATAGCTCTCTTAACAAGCATCACTGTGGTCTTTTCCACTAAACAACCATGATGCATTTCACACTATATTGCCCATGATTACTCAAGACGACAAAAAAAAACAGGTCAACTGTCCTAGCTTCAATCAACACACTCCTAAAGCTTAGACAAGTGAATGCTCATTTTCCACCCTTTCTCCATTATGCCTACTGTTCTAAATAGAGCCACAGCCTGCACCCAACACAGTCACATATATACACATCTGCCAATGCTTTTAATTGAAAAATGAGTAAGACTAAAGGAAGACCACCCAAGTGAAAGGTTGTAGGGTATTTCCGGAGCCCCTTACAGTTTCTTTTCATTTTAAGACTCACCCGAGCTTGATGAATATGATAAGCATTTTCAGCATTCTTCAGGGCCTGAGCTTTGAAATGGTTACTATCTGAAAAGGAAAACTTGGAGATTACCACACGTCATTAACTGATCTCCTTCAAAGATGCAATTCACACCAACATTGTCAATCCCTAAGTCCCCCAATTTACTCATCCCTAAGCTCACAGAGAGTGAGAGAGCAGAAAGGTTCAAATTACATGACAGAGGTAAGGACCCAGAAGTGGCTATGAACGCAGAGGGTTGCCATGGTCTCCAGTAGCCGAAGCCAGCTCAGAGAAACCACCAGGAGACTACGCTCATTGCCCAATCCTTGGTTTCTTGCACAAAGCAATGACAAAGCAAAGCAAAGCAAAGCAAAACAGTGGGGATTCAAAATTGTGATAGATTTCTGCTGGGTGAAACTATTCCCAAAGAAGAAATCCAGACATGTGTAAACCCCAAGATCCTTGCAAGCATACTCATTATTTTTATTCTGAGCTCAACGGGATCTTGATCACTATTCTTTATGAAATTCCCCTCAAATTTCACCCCAATTCCTCTCTCCCTTTATGGTCACAAAAAGGCCATAACTGAGGGGCGCCTGGGTGGCTCAGGTCGTGATCTCAGAGTCCTCTGAGACTTGAGCAGGGAGTCTGCTTGTCCTTCTCTCTCTTCCTCCACCCATGCTCTCTCTAACAAATAAATACAATCTCTTAAAAAAAAAAAAAAATACCACAACTGAACAGTCTCTTTCTCATGCCTGCCTTGCATCACCAAGAATCTTGTTATGTGACAGATGATTTTCTCTGCTGAGACATGTTCACTGAATTCTTCGGATATAATATCCTCCATTTCTACTAACAAATCAAAACATATAAAATATTCCCAAATTTACAAGATCATATAAACACACCCTTTCCTTTTCAAATTCTTTAATAAAAGTTATTTTGTATGTTTTATTCATACTTTGCCTACTCTAGTGCAATAAATTCCCCTTTACTAATCATTACCTACCGATCAAGACAAAACTTACAAGAATTAATCACGTGTATAACCTTAGATATTAAAAAATGGAGGGTACCCACTTCCTCTACGTCTTGATTCAGGACTCACCATAATCCTCCTGTGTAATGTTAACTACCACCCCTCCACCAATGTCAATTTGTCTTTGGGTAGAACTGTCTTCCAGTTTCCTTAGGATTTCTTCCTGAATTCCATCATGACCCATGTCTCGTTTGCGACTCATGAAATGGGCATACAACTCTGTTTGGGTGATTAGGAAGTTCAGTTTTCGCTGTTGCCTCTTGGCCTAAAGGAGAAGAAAGTTATTTTCACTAAACAGTCAAATCATCAATCACATCACATCAATTCTGTTGATTTGGTGATCAACAGAATTCACCAAATCTATATATAGTTTGCATATAATTCTTTTACAAATTCTTTACCTTTAGAAAGGTAGTTAATTGCTAATGCACAATTTTATTATAACCAAGTCAGTGGTACTAAAAGCAAAGAATAGCCTTTACTTATATCTTATGTAGGGCGCCTGGGTGGCTCAGTTGGTTAAGCGATTGCCTTCGGCTCAGGTCATGATCCTGGAGTCCCGGGATCGAGTCCCACATCGGGCTCCCTGCTCAGCGGGGAGTCTGCTTCTCCCTCTGATCCTCCCCCTCTCATGCTCTCTCTGTCTCCCATTCTCTCAGATAAATAAATAAAATCTTTAAAAAAAAAAAATTTTATATCTTATGTAAACATGTGAAAAGATCTTCTTCATCACCGAAAGTCAAAATAAGTGACTAGGAGCTATGAATTATTCTGAAAGTCAATGTAGGAGAAGCCAATCAAAGGAAGAAAACGCTCCTAAAAACAGTGTATAGTTGATCTGTATACTGATCAAGTACACACACACACATACTTAGCCACTGCTTTGCATTAACTATTTTATAATAAAACTCATATGAGGTACAGCTGATTTATCCTTGATCCAATACCTCCCCAAATGAAAAATAAAAACATAACAAGGAAGTTAGCCAAGAAAGGAGACCAGTCCTAAAGTATGCTACATAAAACTACGCTCTCTCTTTAAGATTTTACAGTACTTGAGCCAGATTCAAATGAGAAGAAAATCTGAAACACGGTTTAACAGAAAATGGAGTTACTTTTCATAATGGATACAGGTGTTTATGCTTACTATGTTAGCAAAGCTAATGTATTATCAAGAAAACCTTTCCAAATTAAAACAAAAAAGTAGTATCTCCTTTAACCTTAAAAAAGTCAACTACTACGTGTTCAGATGAATGAGGTCAATTAAAAGAACAATAAAGCTTCATCACAAATAGTTTTATTTCAAAAGATCAGAGAAAAATAAACATAACCATGAAGGAAACTCATTGGTTAACCATCAACAAAATTGAGAGAATGAATAACAAACCTAGACTATAAATCAGGCTGCTTGCAAAACTTCAGGATCTGTGACCAACTCTCAAATGCCTCTAAATTCAGTAAGTATTCCGGATAGCATCAGATGCTTCCTAACACACTAATATGTTTATCTTGCATGTGAAGATAAACATTACCCAGGGGACTTAAGAGAACTGGGCAAAATCCATATTCAACCTCAAAGGCATGAAAAAGGACGGAAGATCAAGAGCTCAGAAACAGCCACAGCTCTGCTCTGACGGAGTATTCCCCAGACCTGAAAGAAAACCTTAACCAATCCTCTGATTCCCTTCCTCCAGACCTCAACTTTCCTTCCACACATCCCAACTGGTTTGCCCATGGCAACACAATAATTTTGTTCTCCCACTCTCTCCTCTTGCTTCCCTGAACAATCTATTCACCTACAGCAGCTGACATCAAGCTTAGAAGAGTACTGGCTGAAAGTTAAACCAGTGAAGCAGGTGGGGAATGGGTCTCAAAACTGGACTAGTTGTCTATTGTTCCTATCTGGCCCTAAATTTGGCAGCCAGCCCTGCTCTTCCAACAAGGAAGAAACTGCAGCCAGTACCTGGAACCAAGCCAAAATAAGCTGTAAGTGGTTTTCTTTTTCTTTCGTTCATCCCTCTTCTTTTTCCTTTTTTTAGTCCTCCAGAAATATACAGAGGAATAAGGCTACAAAGAACAGAAAAACTTGGCATAGAAAAAGAGAGGTGAAGGCCAGAGAGAGGGCCTAACTGAAAGGATAAAAACAGAATCGGTTCATCGGACTAAAGTTATTATCCTCAAACTTATGTCTAAAACCCTTTTTCAATGATTTCATTGATTGATTTGTCATTTGTGCAGTACACACCAGCCTACGGATATGGCTGCAGCAATGAGGCTTTCAAAACTTTAGGGGCGCCTGGGTGGCTCAGTCGGTTAAGCGACTGCCTTCGGCTCAGGTCATGATCCTGGAGTCCCGGGATCGAGTCCCGCGTCGGGCTCCCTGCTCGGCGGGGAGTCTGCTTCTCCCTCTGACCCTCCCCTCTCATGTGCTCTCTCTCATTCTCTCAAATAAATAAATAAAATCTTTAAAAAAAAAAACAAAAACTTTATACTATGTCTTACCTCCCGCATTTCCTCATCCAACTTGCGCTGCTCCAAGGCCTCCTTCTCCGCACGCTTGCGATGTTCCTTCTCCACCTTCTCATACTTCTTCCAGTACAGAAGCATCTCCTTGGTGAGGCGGCGGGCACGAGGCAAGGTCTCCTTACAGTTCTTTTGGGCCTGCAAGGCGGCTCGACGCACCTCCTTCATGCACTGGTGGGCAAGCTGCAGATGACAACAACAGGCTCACAAAGGAGAAGACCCAACACCAGGGCCAGTTCTCCCTGAGCTCTACACCACAGCATTCCTCAGTCTGTTCAGTGCACACAGTCTTCCTATGGCCACATCTCTTTCTCCCCCAACGTGATTCATGTCCATGCACAGTACTGTGACCCAGACCCAGACCTGAGGTAATACATGGAATGAGAAATCTATACACATACTGCCTTAGAAGATGGGAAAAAAACGCATAATGATCTGAGATGTGCTGGGAAGTTACAAAGTATTATCACACATATTAATGGTAATAGTCATTAATGCTAGGCTCCATTCTAAGCCTAACATATATTAAACTAACTTATTCTTCACAAAACCTCTATGAAGTTGGGAGTACCAACATCCTCATTTTACAGATGAGGAAACCAAAGATGAGTGACCAGCCCAGGGAAATAGAACTAAAAACATTACCTCATCTGATCTCACATCTTTCAAAGGAAGTTGTGCTACTTTCCTCTAAAGGAAGGTGTTGATATTAACATTATCATTTCTTAAAGAGACTGAGCACAGGAAGCGTCTATGATCTGCCTAAGGAATCAGAGCACACTATGGTCTCATCCAAAAAGGTTCAAATATCAGAAATGTAAGGAAGAGGATTTTATTTTTAAAATAAATGGCGATGAGAGACTATGGACTCTGAGAAACAAACTGAGGGTTTTGGGGGGAGGGGGATGGGTTAGCCCGGTGATGGGTATTAAGGAGGGCATGTATTGAATGGAGCACTGGGTGTTACACACAAACACGAATCATGGAACACGACATCAAAAACTAATGACGTAATGTATGGTGACTAACATAACATAATAAAATAAAATTTAAAAAATAAATAAAATAAAACAAACGGAGAACATTTAGAAATTCTCTTAGGTATTACTAGATTCATTATCAACAGGTCACAAGAGACAAGAGCAGCAAATGTAAATATGTTCCAGCATAACATAAAATGGGAAATACAAAACTATAATTTACCTTTCGGCTATTGGTGAGAAACAGGTTACGAGCTGAAGCTTTCTGCTTGTTGGCCTAAAATATTTTAAAAACAATTATTTCATTTAGGAGTCCTTTTGAAATAAGATTATGTAGACTGACAATGTCTTTTATTCAACTCCTCAAGGGTTAAAAAAAATAAAGTCATTGAAACTGACCAACTCAGAAACACACAAAGCTACTAAAGCAGTATTAAGAAGAATAAGCTAGTCCTGTGGCTGCCTTAAATAGAGTCTTCTGCACCCTTCTGGAAAGAATTTAAGCTAGATTTAAGGCTTGAAGTGGACTAGGAAAATATAACACCATACCCAACATACACCATCCTGGCTAAAACACACTGCTTTCCAGAGCCAATCTGCAAAGAAGCTGAGAAAGTAGTCACTCACACACAGAAATTGTTAGGAGAGGTAAACTAGCCTCCCAATCTGTGATTCTGTCCTCCAACCAGGACAAACCTTCTGCTACTATTAATTTCTGCCAACACTTAAGCTTCATCTTCTCAAACAAAAAATTCCAAGGCAGACCTAACACAAGATGATTCAGCAGCCAACAAACCAGTCACAAGCTGCTTATTTTGTCTTCCAATTCAGTTAAAACAAAAACCTCAATAAAGAAACCTGATTTCCCCTAATGATCCACTTGACATGGGAGAAGACACAGCATAGGCACAGCTGAGTGACTCTCTGACTGTTAAGGAACTCAACCCCCTAAATCTGAAGAAACAGTGGGTGTGAAGTTACAGACGGCCCAAACGCCATTTCTATAAAATTCCCACCTCAGACTGCTTATGGGAATTTTTAGACCTTTTATAAAAAAACTTCCTTTTACTAATGCTTAAGCAGCTATTGCCACTTTAAAGACAAGAATCTCAAATATTGGGGCGCCTGGGTGGCTTAGTCGTTAGGCATCTGCCTTTGGCTCGGGTCATGATCCCAGGGTCCTGGGATCGAGCCCCGCATAGGGCTCCCTGCTCGGTGGGAAGCCTGCTTCTCCCTCTCCCACTCCCCCGCTTGTGTTCCCTCTCTCGCTGTGTCTCTCTTTGTCAAATAAATAAATAAAATCTTAAAAAAAAAAAAAAGATCTCAAATATTTCTATTGAATTCCTGATCATCAGAAGTGCATCATTAAAAAAAAATATTTTTATTTATTTTTTAATCTCTACACCCAATGTGAAGCTTGAACGCACAATCCTGAGATTAAGAGTCATGCTCTACACAATGAGTCAGCCAGGTGCCCGCAAGGGCATCATTTTGAATCCTCTTCACCAGGTACAAAGAGGGTTTCCCCATAACATCTCCCATCAAGAATGTTCCTATCTAAACTTTCCCTCCAAAAATACTTACTAATTGGCATGGGGACAAAAACAGTCATTGTACAGTAGAGAAGCACCAAACACACCAAGGGATCAAAGCTAATATCATCATACTGGGACGGATGTGTCATGTGCCTCCTAATATGTCATACCAAGAAGGATACGTCACTTCGTTGGTAATCCTGCCCGAAATGCGTAACCCAAATCTAAGAATCTCATGAACTCAAATTCAGAAACAGTGTACAAAATATCAGGGGTATACTATTAAAAAATAAAAATGTCATGAAAGAACACTGTGTCAGATTTAAAAGAGATTAAAGAGATGTGACAACTAAATGAAACACGAGAGTCCTAGACTGGATCCTGGATTGAATTTTTAAAAAAAGCCAAAAAAACCCCACCAAAACCCTATAAAGGACATTATAGAGACAACTGATGAGAAATCTGAATATGGTCTGTGGACCAGATAATAATTTTTACAACTGCACTGTTGTTCTATGAGAAAATGTCCTTTTTCTTAAGAAACACACATTGAACTATTACAAAGAAGTTCAGTACAAAGTGTCAAACTAACCCTCAAAATGGGGAAGAAAAAAAGTATGCATTTATATAACAAAAGCAAAGGAAGCAAACAATTGCTAAATATGAATAAAAGTTACATGGCAGTTCCTTGCATTATTCTTGCCATATCATTTTAAAACTTCTTGTGTTTTGAACTAATTTAGACTTACAGAAAAGTTGCAAAAAATCATACAGAGTTTCCTTACATCCCTCCTGCTGCTTTCCCTAGTTTTAGCATCTTATATAACTTGAATACAATTACTAAGAAAGGAAAATAACACTGGTAAAATATTAATTAAATTACAAGTCTTATTTGAATGTCAACACTTTTTCCACTAAAATTCTCTTCCTGTTCCAGCATCCTGTAACAGGATCCCCTGTATTTAGTTGCTTTTCTCCTTAGTCTCTTCCTGTATGTTACATTTCTTCAATCTTTCTCTCATGTCCTCAACACTTTTGAAAGGCACCAATCAGTTACTCTGTAGAATGTCCCAAAATTTGTGATTTTCTGGTATTTTCTCATGATTGGAATGACATTATGCATTCTGGCAAGAATACCACAGAAATGATGTGTTATTCTCTATGCATCACATCAAGTTCACAATGTCAAAATTTTATTACTAGTGACTATTTAGATCTTTTCGGTAAGGTAGATTCTGCCAATTATCATCACGAAAGTTACTATCTTTCTTTCTGTGCTAATATGTATGCTGACAAATTATTTCTCCTCTAACCTTTATCCTCTAATTTCAGTCTTCATCAGAATGGATCCAGTCTGCAACAATTATCACTGTGGTATTTGTGTAATGATGGTTCTCTACTTCCTTCCTTCCTTCTGCTCTCATTAACTGGAATTCTATTGCAAGGGAGAGCTGTTCCTTCTACCTTAACTATTTGCTTATTTATTTAAAACAGTATGGACTCACAGGAATTTCTTTTAATCTCTGTGTTAAAATTCAGTATTATCTTTTTTTTTTTCTTTTTTAAAGTAGGCTCCATGCCCAGCAGGGGGCCAATTCAGGACTTGAACTCAAAACCCTGACATCAAGACCTAATCCGAAATCAAGAAAGGATGCTTAACCAACTGAGCCACCCAGGCGCCCCAGTATTATCATTATCAATTTTGGTGCTCAATTATTCTAACTTTGACCATGAGGAGCTCCTTTAGGCTGCTCCTGTGTTCTTTTGACAATCCCTCACACTCATCTTTCATCAAGCACTTCCTTACTTTCTGGCACTCCAAGATGTTTAAGGCTCATCTTGTATTTTTTCCCTGCCAAGTTCTGGAATAAACTACTTATCCAAGGAGCTCTGGTTCCTTTTATTAAAGAATAAAAGGTGTTTAGAAATCAAGACCTGGGCACAAGATATCCTCATTGTTACCGGGTCTGTCCCTAGGCACTCTCAGCAAACAGAGCTAGAAAATAAGTATATATGCATACTAACCTATGCATATACACACAACTATATTTCTGTACATATCTGTGTATGTGTGTGTGTGTGTGTGTGTATAAAAACATGAATTCATACTGATAGCTCTGATTCCAATCAAATTTCAAGGGCTTCACTTTAGCATTCCCAACAGTGACAAACTGGCTGTCAACTACAACAGATTTATTTATTTGTTCAATTCTAGTATGCATTTAAAGTAGTTCCAAAATTACTAACCCATTCCTTTGTAAGAAACACTTACTATGTCAATCATAGCATTTATGTATAGTTCTTTTGGTCTTCAGCCTTACAAGACATGCAGTCAAAATACTGATTTCCTCAGTTACTTCAATGAGTCCTTTTCTTTCCCCACTCTCTGCAACTTGATTATATTACTCATTTCTAATGCAGTTAAGCATTTATCCCTGTCTTTATTCCACTTTGCCCACATATCCCCTCAACCTCCTCCTTCACCCACATCCTGGTTGGTTTTAATGGATTTATTATAGGGGTATGTGAGGAATATATGACACATTACTAGGATTCTGAAAGGCAGTCCTATATATAAAAAGATGTACTTGAAGACTGCCCCCTCATCCCTGCTAACCTGTCCATTCCCCTCTTTCTACATTTTCCCCACCTGCCCCCTGTAAGAAATCAACACTTTGATTTCTGGTTTATCCTTCTTGAATTTCTTTTGCACGAATGAGGATTTATTTGTGTATTTTCTTGTATTCCTGTTTTGCTTATATGAAAGGTAAATATTATAGATACCTGTTTTTGTTTGCTTTTCTCACTTAACAGTACATCCTAGAAATTACTCCATATCATCTCAGAAAGGTCATCTTCATAATTTCTTTTTAACTACAGCATAATAATCCACTGTGTAGATCTACCAGAGTTCAAGTCCCACATATAGGCACTTAAGTTGTTTACTTTATTTTGCAATTAAAAATAATGTTGTGAGGGCGCCTGGGTGGCTCAGTTGGTTAGGCAACTGCCTTCGGCTCAGGTCATGATCCTGGAGTCCCGAGATCGAGTCCCGCATTGGGCTCCCTGCTCAGCAGGGAGTCTGCTTCTCCCTCTGACCCTCCCCCCTCTCATGCTCTATCTCATTCTCTCTCTCAAATAAATAAATAAAATCTTTAAAAAAAAAAAAATAATGTTGTGAGGCATCTGGCTGGCTCAGTGGAGCTTGCTACTCTTGATCTTAGGATTGTGAATTTGAGCCCCACGTTGGGTGTAGAGGTTATAAATAAATAAACTTTAAAATAATAACAATAATGCTGGAATGAATAACTTTGTTTACATGTATTTTTGTATTGCTGGAGATATAGCCTCAGGATAACTTCTAGAAGCAGAAATGCTGGTTTGAAAGGTTAAGTGCATGTGGAGATTGTTAGGTATTGCCAACTTGCCCTCCAGAACAGTTCTCTCAAATTTGCATTCCTAGCAGCAATGTATGAAAATGTCCGTTTCCCCACAGCCTCCTTAACAGAATGTGTTACCATATTTTAAAATTTTTGCCACTGTGATAAGTACAAAATGGCATCTAGGTATTATTTTAATTTAGATTACTCCAATTACGAGAGACTTTGAACCTTTTAATGTTTGAGGGCCATTTTTTCTAAGATTGCATTTATTTATTTGACAGAGAGAGAGAGAGAGCACAAACAGGGGAGCGGCAGGCAGAGGGAGATGAAGAAGCAGGCTTCCTGCTGAGCAAGGAGCCCAACGTGAGGCTCGATCCCAGAACCTTGGGATCATGACAAGAGCCGAAGGCAGCCACTAAACTGACTGAGCCACCCAGGCACCCCGAGGGCCATTTTTATATCTTTCTTTGTCAATTTTGATTCATGTCATTTTATTTGTCTACTGAATTTCTGGTCCTTTGTCTCTCAATTCTTTTTCTCATTGTATATATTTGTTGAGATATAATTTAAAAATTTTCTCCAGCTTTACTGAGATACAGCTGTCACACAACATTATGCAAGAGTAAGGTGTACAATGTGTTGATATGATACATTTATATATTGCAGAATGACTACCGTGATGGCATTAGCTGACACCTTCATCCTGTCACATGATTGTTTTTGTGGTGTACGTAATATAGTATTACAGTTCTGTGTCTCTGGATGAATTTACACATGCAGGTTACTGCCATCCAAATTACAACATGAAACATCTCCATCTCAGTAAGTTTATTTAGCACCTCTTTCTACTCAATTCCACAACACGGGTACTTCTGTGTCTTTTTTCTTTCACAGAGCATGTTTTTTAAATGCATCCATGTTGTGTAGATCTCGTATCTGCCTCTTGTATGGGAATCATTGCAAATCATTACAATGTGTGATCTGTGTCTGGCTTCTCTCATTAAGTTCTTTGTGGAGAGATGAAGAACAAAAAGAACTGGCAGTGAAGCTCGTGAAAAGAATTTGAGATTCTATAGTGGGACAAAGGGAGATGTTAGGATCTTGGCAGCAGCCAAAATGGGCTATTTTGTAGCCAACAGAATGGTCTGGGAGAGCCTTAAAATTGGAGCATATGCTGAGTTGGAAAGAAGGTATCGGATGATCTGTATAAAGCAGGGAAGCAGGGTAGGCACCATCAGGGGATGCTGGAGGTGCATCTGTGTTTCTCTTGGAAGAGCTGGTCTTAACTTCCATCCCAGCTAATTGCTGTTGTTTGGCTTTCTTGAGTTTTGCTCTATGGTTCTTGAACCAAACCTGCAGTACTGCGGGATGGTATCTCGTTTTGAGGCCATTTCTTTTTGAAAGAGGAGCTAAATAAACTTACTGCGATGGGGAGCAGGGTATGGGTTCTTCCTGAACAAGAATTCCAAATCTGCCGATTGTTTCTCAGTGAACATTACTGTTTCCTTTGTGAATGCTTCTGGTGCTTTCCTTTAAATCTGCATTTGCTGCTGCAGGCTCAGAAGTTCCAAGGGTAGTTGGTGATGACTAAAAGCCCTCTCTCAAAAGTTACTTTAGGAAGGTCTCCTGCGCCTGATACCCTGAGATCAAACTGTGTCCCCATGCTCTGGTCCTGTGTCAAAAGTATCCTTCAATTTTTAAGAGTTTTTAATATATGAGAGATAATAGCCCTTTGACTGTGATATACAATGTAAATAATTTTTCCCACTTCATCAGTTATCTTTTGTCATGAAAAAATTTATTTGTATTTAGTCAAATTTACTAATGTTTTCTTTCATTGCCTCTGGGTCACACATAGAAACTTTTCCTATGCAAAGGTTAAATAGGAATGTGATAGCTTTCTTCTAGTCTTTGTATGGTTTCATTTTTTACACTGAGAACCCTAATACGTTCAGAGTATATGTGTGAGAAACATCTAATTTTATCTTTTTCCAAAGGCTACCTAGTTGTTCCAGCATGACTTATTAAAAAGTGCATTAGTCTTGGGGCGTCTGGGTGGCTCAGTCGTTAAGCTTCTGCCTTCGGCTCGGGTCATGATCCCAGGGTCCTGGGATTGAGCCCCACATCGGGCTCCCTGACCTGCAGGGAGCCTGCTTCTCCCTCTCTCACTCCCCCTGCTTGTTTTCCCTCTCTCGCTGTGTCTCTCTCTGTCAAATAAATAAATAAAATCTTTAAAAAAAATAAAAAATAAATTAAAAGAAAGTGCATTAGTCTACTCTACTGTTCTATTTGCCTATTCATGTGCCAGTACTACATTGTTTTAATTATAGAGATTTATAGTGTAATTTAATGTTTGATGGTGCTTTTTCAGTGTTTCTCCAGCAATTCTTACACACTGACTTTTTCCTTGAGGTTAGTATCAACTTTTTTTTTTTTTTTTTAAGATTTTATTTTTGACAGAGAGAGACACAGCAAGAGAGGGAACACAAGCAGGGGGAAGTGGGAGAGGGAGAAGCAGGCGTCCCACGGAGCAGGGAGCCTGCTACAGGGCTCGATCCCAGGACCCTGGGATCCTGACCTAAACCAAAGGCAGACGCATTAATTAATGACTGAGCCACCCAGGAGCCCCTAGTATCAACTTTTCTAAAATCAGAAAATATCCTGTTCATTTTTCTATTAGGATTGCACACAATTTATAAGGCAATTAAGTAAGTAAAATGCAAACAACTGGTGAGTAACTGAGTAAAGGGTATATGGACACTCCTCACACAACTCCTGAAACTTTCAAATTTGAAATTATATCAAAATAAAATGTTATCAAAACCAAACAAATTAAAAGAGCAAAAAGAATGCTTATACATCTTTCTCTTGCATCATTCACATTTTTTTCCAATGCCTGTGATTACTCAGTAACATCCAAATATTTATAGATTCTCCAAGAAACATTAACTCTACAATTTCATTTTAATTTCCTCTATTATCACCTATTAATTTGCTGTCAGATCTCTACTGCTATACGTAAGAAAACTGCTTTCCTTTCTCAAAGATGTTTCCCTCCATTTTTTGGACAAGGAACATCATTCAACAACTGTCTTGTGAATTCTGATCAAAATCTAGAAAAACAGTTGATTGACAAGAGTACTCGTCAACATGTTCTTAATTCTAAGAGATTGGTTTTCTTTCTGAACACTGTGAAGGTACCTAGCTCTCAGCTCCTCTTTAGAGGGCAGGGAGACAAAATATTCTTGCCATCTCCTATGCTGGAGGCACTCACATACCTTTGGTAGTTCCTTTTTCACAATGCTGAGCCATACTTTCCTGCGACGAGCATTAAGCTGCTCAATGGATAAGTGCTTCTTCTTGGTGCCAGGAGGAGGTGCATCATGAGAGAACTTGGCAAAGACTTTGGTCTGATGGTGGTGGCAACGAGGAGATTCTTCAGAGGAAAGTTCTTCATCCCTTCGCCTTTTTTTCTTCACTTTTTTCAACTTGGCTGCAAAGGAAACAGACACTGAGAATCTTGCATTTCTGCCCTTCCACAGAATATTGCCACAACCAACCTCATCACTTTAAGACAATTCAAGGTTCTTTCCTCATTCCACCTAAGGCTGGCAATGTTTATCTCTTCATCTATTCAGGCCTATGAACATTCCAGGAGGAAGATCTCACTATCTTGGATACTCCTTATATTTACATGAAAGAGAAACACAGAATAAGATCTAAAAACTGAATTTCTGTTGAACCCAACAACAGGAAGGGAGACGTACAAAGTACCATGAACTCAAATAATGGCCATGAGGAAGGAAACATTTCTACTTGGTGGCAATGTTAAGGTGATTAAAGAGAAATAACAAAGAAAGAAAAAAATGCGCCGATAGGACATTACGACCTGTGAAGAGAAAATCATACATGGAATAAAAAAACTAATTTGGGGGTGCGAGTGTGGAAGAGATAAACTAGTGGATGTGGGAGAAAGGGAAGAAGGCTGAAAAGAATTTCTGAGTAGAGTTCATACCTTCAGGGGAATAAAATCTGCCTTGTACAGATAGCTTAAAACTTTCCCTTCCTACTTCCTTCCTGATTTCCAGCTGCTTAGAGCTCAGTAAGGGAGGAAAACACACTTCCTGGCAAACATGCAAACAAACACTACACAAGATTATCAAGAGGTGATCTATTTAAAAGTTCCACATACAGCAACAATGATGACTTATTCCCACCACTTCAGGTTGCTCTTCATACTTCCCTGTGCATAACCGACTTCTGCCTCTCCCAGATTATCAACATTTGGAAGAGTGTGTAGAAGAAAAAAGGAATAAACTAATTAGCTTAAACCTTTGGCTAGGAATCCATAGTCCTTATGCCTTTATAATTCTAGAAAAGATCATTAACCAAATACGAAATAGGGTTAACAATACTTATTACCTAGACAGGGGAGACTAGGGTTTTTCAGATAAAGCAAGTTTCTACTACATGGATTATGTTCAAAGCCCAAATGCACCAATAGGCTACGCAAAACCCTGAAACTAAGAATGAGTAAATATGGAAGGCAGGTCGGTGTGCTCACCTTTAAGCTTCTTTTCCTCCTTGAATTTCTTTTTTTTGGGTCCAAGTAGGTGCCGTTGTTGCTCATAGAAAGGGTCGTACGTGGAGAGCAGGCCTGCACTGTAGTATTGGTACTGCTGCAGCTGAAGCAGGCAAAGACAGGGAGGCTTACAAGGGCTGGTCTGGGTTCTAAGCCTGCCTTCAAGTCATCTTTACTACAAAACCTTGAGCCAGAGAAAAACCAGAGCTCCTAAATTTGTTCTTCCCACAAAAAGACCAATAAAGATTTAGTGCCTCAAAGTGAATTATTTCCTTACTTCAAAACAAAACGGGTTCATCAGCTATGTATATGGCAAGTTGCTGAAAGTAACTTAAGAAAGAAAAACACTTCATGCTTCTGAATTTCCACCAGACTATTTGCTTGGAACTGACACATATTCGAGTGATGCAATTAACTGCAGAAAGGGCTCCACCTGGAAGTCATCAACAAGTAATAAACCATATTTCTATTACCAATAGGTCCTCAGATTTAGTAAGGTTTTGATATGTGTTATTCTGGGTTTTGGTCTTCTATCTGGTTCAGAGAGTCACTAGCCATCCCAATTCTCCTATATTTCAAGTCTTTTCACTCTTTATATCTCCCACTAATAGAGTTTGACAATATTATGGATAACGCCTACATTGCCAGAATTCTAACATATGAACCATCGATTTTTTTTTTTCCTGTCCAGGAAGAGATTCTTTCAAACACTGCATTTAAATTGACCCCCAAAGCTCACATTAATTTTGTTTCACTTATTACTAATGGATAAATATAAATATAAACTTAAACAGTCCACTGTTGAATCTCTTTCCTAGACTGCAGCCAGTCCAAGAACTGAAACTAGGACAGAAAAGTGACACGGAGAACTATCACGAGGTCCCCTGTCAATGGTCAAAATTAAATGAGCATTCATTGAGCTATATAGTTAAAATCTATTAACTTTCCCATATATATGTTTTACTTCAATTTAAAAAAGGCCAAGCATTGCAATCCCTACCAAAATATCAACAGCATTTTTCAAAGAACTAAAAGAAATAACACTAAAATTTGTATGTAACCACAAAAGACCCCAAGCAGCCAAAGCAATCTTGAGAAAGAAAAACAAAGCTGAAAGTATCACAATTCCAGATTTCAAGATACACTACAAAGCTGTAGTGATCAAAACAGTATACAGTGCTGGCACAGAAAAAGACACATTGATCAGTGGAACAGAACAGAGAACCCAGAAATAAGAGGCGCCTGGCTGGCTCAGTTGGTAGAGCATATGACTCTTGATTTCAGTGTCATAAGTTCAAGTCCCATGTTGGGCACAGGACATAAAAAAAAAAAAAAAAATTCCAACAACACAGAATAGAGAATTCAGAAATAAACCCATGCTTATACAGCCAATTAATCTATGTCAAAGGAGGCAAGAATATAAAATGGGGAAAAGACAGTCTGCTCAATAAATGGTGCTGGGAAAACTGGACAGTCACATGCACAAGAATGAAACTGGACCACTTTCTACCACCACGAACAAAAATAAACTCAAAATGGATTAAAAACCTAAATTTGAGACCTAAAACCATAAAAATCTTAGAAGAGAACAGAGACAGTAATTTCTCTGCCATCAGCCAAAGCAACATTTTTCTAGATGTCTCCTAAGGCAAGGGAAACAAAAGCAAAAATAAACTATTGGACTACTTCAAAATAAAAAGCTTTTGCACAGTGAGAGAAATCATCAACAAAACAAAAAGGCAATCTACTGAATGGGAGAAGATATTTGCAAATTATATATCCTATAAGGGGTTAATATCCAAAATACGTAAAGAACTTGTACAACTCAACACCAAAAAAACAAACGATATGATTTAAAAAATAGGCAAAGGACCTAAACAGACATTTTCCCAAAGAAGACATACAGATGGCCAACAGACATATGAAAAGATGCCCAACATCACTAATCATCAGGAAAATGCAAATCAACTACAACAAGAGATCCCCTTACACCTGTCAGAATGGTTAGTATCAAAAACACAAGAAATAACAGGGGTTGGTAAGGATGGAGAGAAAAAGGAATCCTCGTGCACTGTTGGTGGGAATGCAAATTGGTACAGCCACTCTCGAAAACAGTATGGCGGTTCCTCAAAAAATTAAAAGTGGAAATATCATATCCAGTAATTCCACTACTGGGTATTTACCCAAAGAAAATATAAAAACTAATTCAAAAGAGGGCGCCTGGGTGGCTCAGTTGGTTAAGCGACTGCCTTCGGCTCAGGTCATGATCCTGGAGTCCCTGGATCGAGTCCCGCATCGGGCTCCCTGCTCATCGGGGAGCCTGCTTCTCCCTCTGACCCTAACCCCTCTCATGTGCTCTCTCTCATTCTCTGTCTTAAATAAATAAATAAATAAAATCTTAAAAAAAAAAAAAAAAAAAAAAAAACTAATTCAAAAGAGATACGTGCGGGGCGCCTGGGTGGCTCAGTCAGTTAGGTGGTTGCCTTTGGCTCAGGTCATGACCCCAGGGTCCTGGGATCGAGACCCGCATCCGGCTCCTTGCTCAGCAGGGAGCCTGCTTCTCTCTCTGCCTGCCGCTCCCCCTGTTTGTGCTTTCTCTCTTTCTCTGACAAATAAATAAAATGTTAAAAAAAAAAGAGAGAGAGAGATACATGCACTCATGTTTACCACAGCATTATTTATAATAGCCAAGATACAGAAGCAACCTAAGTGTCCACTGATTGGTGAATGGATAAAAATGTGGCACGCGTGCATGCACACACACACGTATGTATGCATGTATATGAGCTCCTGCCATTTGTGACAACATCGATGGATGTACAGGGTATTATGCTCAGTGATATAAGTCAGACTGAAAAAGACAAATACCACATGATTTCACTCATATGTGGAATCTAAAAAACAAACAAAAAGCAAAATCAGACCTGAAGAGAGAACAAACTGATGGTTGTCAAGAGGGGAGGAGGGTGATGGGGGTTGGGCAAAATGAGAGAAAGAGAGTGGGAGATACAGGCTTCCAGTTATGGAATGAATAAATCATGGGAATAAAAGGCCTAGCACAAGGAATACAGTCAATGATATTATAATAGTGTTGTATGGTGACAGATGGTAGCTACACTTGTGAGCATAATATAATATATAGAGATGTTAAATCACTTATGTTGCATAAGTGAAACTAATATTTTGTCAACTACACTAAAAAAAAAGACCAAATATTTCAAGCACCAAATGCCTAGCACTGTACTTTAAGAAGGAACTCTAAGTCAAAACAGTCAGATATCTTACAATTATTACTTCTGCAGGTTTATAAACGTCACCATATATACATATCTATATAACTATATAGGTATTTTTTTTTCCTAAAGAGAGAGCTCGACCGGGGGTTGGGGGTGAGGGGGTGGACAGAGGGAGAGGGAGAGACAGAATCAAGCAGGCTCCATGCCCAGTGCAGAGCCTGACCCAGGGCTTTATCTCATAACCCTGAGATCATAACCTGAGCCAAAATCAAAACTCAGACGCTTAACCGACTGAGCCAGCCAGGTACCCCTAACCTTTAGCATATTATTCAAAGCTTTCAAACTAATTTTGGCTGTTAACCAATTGTTAGAAAGTTTTTAGGTCTTCAAATATGCTATTGCTCATCATGTTCAAAGCACCACACTTCTGACAAAAATCAGAAGGCTTTGGTAACAGTATTCAAAGAGTTGTCACTTAAAACTATCATCAATCTAATGTTAGTATGTAAAGAAAAGGAGTTTTTTCAAGATAGGGACACTTCCAAAGAGCAAGTGCATTAAAAAAGGAACCCCTAGAATTCAAAATGGCGCAGCCACTTTGGAAAACAGCCTGACAGTTCCTCAAAAAGGATAAGCACAGAGTTTTCATATGACCCAGTCATTCCTCTTCTAGGTATATACAAAAAAGAAATGGAAACAAATGCCCACACTGAAAACTTGTACACAGATCTTCATGGCAGCATTATTCATAACCGCCAAAAGTGGAAACAACTCACTATTTATAGCTATCATTTGTAAAAGCCAAAAAGTAGAAACAATCCAATTAACTCATTAAGTGATACATGGATAGTAAAATGCAGTATGTCCACACAATGGCATATTATTTGGTAACAAAAAGAAATGAAGTACTGATACATGCTAAAACGTGAATGAACCTTGAAAACATGCTAAGTGAGAAGATGAACATAAAGGACCACATGTTGCCCTATTTGCATAAAATGTCTAGAACAGGCACATTTATAGTGCTAAGTGGCTTCCTGGGGCTGAGGGGGAATAGAGAAAATGAAAGACAACAGCTAAGGGGAGTGGGGTTTCTTTTTAGAGGAAACATTCTGGAATCATATAGTGATGATAGTTATACATCTCTATGCATATACTAAAAACCACTGAATTGTACATTTAAAAAGGCTATTATTGGTATGTGAAATATATTTCAATAAAGCTTGTACTAGAGGGGCGCCTGGGTGGCTCAGTCGTTAAGCGTCTGCCTTCGGCTCAGGTCATGATCCCAGGGTCCTGGGATCGAGCCCCACATCGGGCTCCCTGCTCGGCAGGAAGCCTGCTTCTCCCTCTCCCACTCCCTCTGCTTGTGTTCCTGCTCTCACTGTCTCTCTCTCTGTTAAATAAATAAATAAAATCTTTAAAAAAAAAAAAAAAAAAGCTTGTATTAGACCCACCACCACCACCACCACCTAAATATAAATGTAAAATGACATGTCTTCAATGAATGTTAACAATAGGCTAAATTAAATACCCAACACAAAGGTCTGAGATTTCCCCTGAAACTCTCTCTTACCTCCTTGTCTTTGCTATACTTATTCTGGTGAAGTTTCTTATACTTGTGCAGCCGCAACATGTTATGAAGTTCTTCTCTGCTGAGGTGGAGTTCTTCCTCTTCTTCTTCTTCTTCTTCATTGTCTTCACTCTGAGAATCTGCCTCACTGGACTCATCACTTAGCAGAATGCTCTGCAAACAGGAGGAAATGGGAATGGAATCTGTTGCTATGGAGCAAGTCCTTCTCTAACCCAAGCATCTTTTCCCAACACAATGACAAAAACAGCTGGAAGACAGTAACTCCAGTTTCCCAATTCATGTGGAAAAGAAAAGGATACCAACTGAACCTAGTGGCATGAATTCAAGAGCACTAACATACGAAAATGCTATAAAGGCAACAAAGCTAGATTTCACTAAGTACTTAGAACTATACGTAGGCTATTTTAACTGTCAAATATCAAGGCAAAAAACTAAAAACAAAAACAAAACCACAACCTATAGGGTATAAAGGAATATACAGAGCCGGCCATGATAGCTAATAAAGAAGAAACAACCCAAAAAATCATTAGATTTTGTTATTATCCAGATAATGAAATATTATTTAGCCATAAAAAGGAATGGAGTACTGATACATGCCATAACATGAATGAACCTTGAAAACTATGCTAAGTGAAAGCAGCCAGGCACAGAAGGCCACATATTATATGATTCCATTTATATGAAAAGTCCAGAATAGGCAAATCTGTAGGGAAAGAAAACAGATTAGTGGCTGCCAGGGGCGACGGGAAGTGACTGCTTAATAATCACAGAGTTTGATTTTGGAGTTTCTAGAATTAGTGGTGACGGCTGCACAAAACTTTACTACAATACACACTTTACAAGGGTAGATTTTATGGCATGTGAATTGTATCTCAATTTTTAAGAATGTGATGGCTAAACAAAGATTTCTGCATTGCCAACAGCTTAAAAGCCTTTTATACACAAACCTTTTAAAGGACCTCATGATTATAATGAAAGAATGCCTTTATATTACTTTGAGCTCTTCACAAGAAAAGAAAGCAATAGAGAAATAGTTTCAACAGAAGAAATCCTACCCTTAACTCAGTTGGGCCAATGACAGTAATCTTGTAAGAGTGTAAAGAGTCTACTATTTCCCTGCCTATAAACACTCACAGAAATTTACCAGAGTAAAATACAAATTCTTTAACATGGGGTACAAGGCCCTACACAAGCAGGCTCTCTAACCTCATCTTCTACCATACCCTCTCTTTCATTGTACTCCAGCTACACTAGCCTTCTTTTCCTCCAAACATACTGAGTTGCTTCCTTTCTCAGGAATTTTATAGTTATGTTCCTTCTGATTGAAATGCTCTTATCTTAAACATTCCCATAGTTCTGATCATTCAGAAATCAGCTGAAATGTTACCTCTTTAAAGAAGCCATTTTTGTTTCTTTGTTTGTTTACAGACTTACTCACTGCCTCCCCCCATTTGAATGTAAGCTCTACAGTGCAGGAACCCTGTCTGTCTACAATAGTATCTGGCAGGTAGGACGTACTCAATCAACTTCCCAATAACTCAAGTACTAATGAAAATGACATTAATAGTCCTGATTATAATGTGAGGCAGGGAGGGCAAGGATCTTATCTATTTTTTTACTCCTTTGCTCTGCGCAGTGCTTTATACTCAAAAATGTTTGCTAAAATGAATTTCACTGACGCCTCTAGATTTTCCTCTATAATCTCTTCAAAAAAAAAAAAAAAAAATCACACCCACAGTATAAAACTCATGTCTAGAAAAATCTCTGCTAATGTGTCTGAATGAGTCAATAACTCTCCCTTCCATTTGTAATTTTAGTAGGTTATTTGAATTATAAACATTTGCCTTATCTCTTACCTTTAGCCACTTCCTGCTTTTCTTCAATTTAGAGAAGTTATATAAATTCCCTTTGTCAGATTTTGATTCTGTGTAAAGAAACATAAAGAACAACAAAAATGAAAGGAAGACTGCCCCAAGAGAACTGATAGTCCAAAGAGGGATCTCACACCACACTGACCTGACTGTAGAACTCCATTCAGTGAGTATGTGTTTAACATTCCAGAGTTGCCTGCTCCAGAAGTTTCTCCAAGCAATGAATTTGGAGGTTCTTCCTTAACTTGTATTAAGGGATCCCCAGACTGGGGCAATAAAGGATTACTGTCATCCAGTCCATCTTCACTCTCATCACTATAAATTGAAAAATAAATCTATAATCACAGCTGACCCAGCAAAATACTTTAATTTATGGTCAGCAGACAGAAGAAATTGATCCTTTAAAGAGACTGTGTTCTATTGAAAGAAGGAAGAAAAAACTACCAAATATAGCAAAAATTGTAAAATACCTTAACCCTAAAACCAAAGACAATGGGAATCAGAAAGTGGTCAAACATTATATTGGGGGGGGGGCCTGGGTGGCTCAGTCGTTAAGTGTCTGCTTTCGGCTCAGGTCATGATCCCAGGGTCCTGGGACTGGGCCCCGCATCGGGCTCCCTGCTCAGTGGGAAGCCTGCTTCTCCCTCTCCCACTCCCCCCGCTTGTGTTCCCTCTCTCGCTATGTCTCTCTCTGTCAAATAAATAAATAAAAAATCTTTAAAAAAAACCCAAAAAATATTATATCGGGAATATGTAATCGCATACCTAGAAATATTCCTGTTGAAGATGGCTGATGTTTGTCGCAAGAAATGGTCCAACCGGAGGGCCCTCTCCAAGTATTGAAGATAGAGGGGCTTTGCCAGCTCAGTGCAGCCGCCATCGTCCCCGGCTCCCAACTCCGAGGCCATAGAACAAATCTGTCTTCATGCACAAGGGTCTCCGACTTCTCGGCTGCAGAATGGAGATTAAGCAGTGAAAGACAGAATACTATTTATTCTCCCTTTATTTTGCGCCCTTGCTATCAATGTGAAGAGAAATCAGACCTTCTAGAACACAAGACAAGAAGACAGCAGTCTATAGAAAGATCACAATAAAGTTCTTGTTAGGCATTTTTTCCTAATGCAAAGGCAGAAGTTTAAAAGAATGAGGAGAACATCAAAATACAGAAATACTGTCATATGTCACAACAAAAATTCATATTATATTTTTGAAAGAGTACCTTAAAATTTACACCCACTTACCTTTTGTCCTACAATTAACAATTACTCACAATTATCTAAATCTATACCACAAGCTCCTTTGTACACCTCATAGAGGAACACTTGTTGTCAGCATCACCTTCAAAACAGCTGCTTCCTTCTTCATTTTGTGTTTACATTTGTACATATTTATGAGATATTCCACTTACAAGGGAAGAGAGCTATTGTCAGAGTATTTTACACACTTGTAAACCTTCTTTCAAGTGTAAGATACAGAAATTTAGAAAACTGGAGCAAAGAGAGTATAAGTAAGAGAAACAAAGGTATATAGCCTGAGCATTTTCTTTGCTACCTTATGGTGTTAAAGGAAATCATAACACCTTTGAGTTGTCTTCTCTTTTTATTATAGTTTTTAAAAGTCTCCTATATAATCTTTCTTCTTAAGGACATGTTAAAAAATTCTCCTCCAACAGATCTACAGAGTGAACATAATCTCCCCAGAAGGCTTTTCTTTTTCAGAAACTGACAAGCTAATTCTTAAATTTATATGGAAATGCAAAGAAACCAAAATAGCCAAAATAATTTTGAAAACGAAAAAAGTTCAGGGTGCCAGGGTGGCTCAGTCGGTTAAGTATCTGCCTTCAGCTCAGGTCATAATCCCAGGGTCCTGGGATCAAGCCTCGAGCCAGGCTCCCTGCTCAGCGGGGAGCATGCTTCTCCCTCTCCCTTTGACCCCCACTCATGCTCTCTCTCTCAAATAAATAAATCTTTTAAAAAAATAGAAGAGGGTTGAATAACTTACACTTCCTGATTTTATTTATTTTTTTTAAAGATTTTATTTATTTATTTGATAGAGACACAGCGAGAGAGGGAACACAAGCAGGGGGAGTGGGAGAGGGAGAAGCAGGCTTCCCACTGAGCAGGGAGCCCAATGTGGGGCTCCTTCCCAGGACCCTGGGATCATGACCTCAGCCAAAGGGAGACACTTAACGACTAAGCCATCCAGGTGCCCCCACTTCCTGATTTTAAAACATATTATAAAGCCACAGTAATCAGGTCAATGTGATAGTGGCATAAGGATAATCACAGACCAAGAGAACAGACCTGAAAATCCAGAAATAAACCCTTACAGGGGTGCCTGGCTGGCTCAGTTGGTAGAGCATGCAACTCTTGATCTCAGGGTCTTGAGTTCAAGTCCCACAGTGGGCACAGAGCTGCCTTTAAAAGAAGAAAGAAAATAAATAGTTGGGGTTTAAAAAAAAAAACAAAAAAACAGGGGTTCCTGGGTGGCTCAGTTGGTTAAACATCTGACACCTGATTTCGGCTCAGGTCATGATCTCAAGCCCCATGTCAGACTCTGTGTTCAGCGCAGTCTGCTTGAGATTCTCTCTTTCCCTCTCTCCCTCTGCCCCCACCTCACCCCAGTTCGTGCTTGCACACTCTCACCCTAAAATAAATAAATCTTCAAAAATAAAATATTTAAAAAATAAAAGGAAAAAAGCCCTTACACGTATGGTCAATTTTCAATGAAGGTGCCAAGGCAATTCAATGGGAGAAAAGACAGTCTTTTCAACAAACTATGCTGGACAACTGGGTATCCACATACAAAAAGATTAATTTAAACCTTTAAAAAAAACCTTAACCTCACACTAGGCATAAAAATTAACTCAAAATGGATCAGGGACTTAAGTGTAAAACCCCAAACTGTAAAACTTCTACAAGAAAACACAGGGGAAAATCTTCATGATCTTGGTTAAGCAAAAAGTCTTTGGATATGACATCAAAAGCACAATCCAATAAAAAAAAAAAACAACACACACACACACAACTGACAAATTAGGTCATGAAAATTTTAAACTTTTGTACTTTAAGCAGTATTATTAAAAAGATGAATACAAGCCACAGACTAGAAGAAAATATCTGCAAGTTGTGTATCTGGATAAAGGACTTGTATACAAATATCTAAAAAAATAAAAAAATCCTGGAAATGAAAAGTATAACATAGAGAATATAGTCAATAATATAACAACAGTAACAGAAGGTGACTATGCTGAGTGGTGAGCATTGAGTAATGTATAGAACTGTCAAATCACTATGTTATGTACACCTGAAACTAATATTACATTGTATATCAACTATAATTAATATTAAAAAACCAATAATAGGGGTGGCCTGGGTGGCTCAGTCGGTTAAGTGTCTGCTTTCAGTTCAAGTCATGATCTCAGGGTCCTGGGATTGAGCCCTGCATCGGGCTCCCTGCTCAACAGTGAGTCTGCTTCTCCCTCTCCCTCTGTACCTCCTCCCCATCCCCGCTTATGCGCTCTCTCAAATAAATAAAATCTTTCATAATAATAATAAAATAATACCCAACTTCTCTATCTATCCTCTAAAAAAGACCTGCCTCCTCTACTTCAGAGAATCTTTTAGGGATAAAATGAAGTATATGTGAAAGGGCTTTATAAGAAATGCCAGAGTAGGGCGCCTGGGTGGCTCAGATGGTTAAGCGTCTGCCTTCGGCTCAGGTCATGATCTCAGGGTCCTGGGATCGAGTCCCACATCGGGCTCCCTGCTCCTTGGGAGCCTGCTTCTCCCTCTGCCTCTCTCTCTCTCTGTCTCTCATGAATAAATAAATAAAATCTTAAAAAAAAAAAAAAAAGAAATGCCAGAGTATTTTCAAACAGTGTATGCTCACATATTCAGAGTTGGGAGGGATCACAGAGCTTACCTAATCCAACTGGGTCATATTACAGATGAAGAAACTAAAAACCAGGGAGCCTGGGTGGCTCAGTTGGTTAAGCGACTGCCTTTGGCTCAGCTCATGATCCTGAAGTCCCAGGATTGAGTCTGCGTGGGGCTCCCTGCTCAGCAGGGAGTCAGCTTCTGTCTGACCCTCCCCCCCTCATGCTCTCTCTCAAATAAATAAAATCTTTAAAATAATATTAAAAAAAAAAAAGAAACTAAAAACCAGAAAGATTAAAAAACTTGTTCATATTCATGAGCTCTTTTGCAGAGCCAGGTTTCCTAGTTCCTAAACCGGTGCTTTTTCAATCTCAGCAAACTGTCTCCCTAGACAGGATCTACCTCTTAAATTCTTGAGTTTATGCTTTGATGTTGTGAAGAACACAATCCCAAGAGCCAACATTTTTTTTTTTTAAGATTTTATTCATTTATTTGACAGAGAGACACAGTGAGAAAGGGAACACAAGCAGGGGGAGTGGGAAAGAGAGAAGCAGGCTTCCCACCGAACAGGGAGTCCGATGCAGGGCTCGATCCCAGGACCCTGGGACCATGACCTGAGCTGAAGGCAGACACTTAACGACTGAGCCACCCAGGCAATCAAGAGCCAAATATTTATAAAGCACCAATTCTGCAGAGTAAAGATCACTTAGAATTTTTTTTGCATTCTTTGAAATATCTGTCGAGAAACCATTTTTGCTAAGTGAGGTGCAGGGTTTTATAAAAGCATCAACAACTAGGATCTACGTTAAGCCAAACAGATTAGTCCTTAGTTCAAGGTCAATAAATGGCCAATATAAGCTGTCAATAATCACTATTTTTTAACTGACTTCATTACAAAGACACCTCAACAGATTAATAGTGGCATAGTCCTGCCTAAAATTCAATTCAATATTGATATAAAAATTTAGTCCTGGAATTATTGAAGAGGATACTGGCATAATTTTTAGATTCAACAGGCAACATATTAATTTGTTTACAGTGTTACATGTTAGGAGAAAAACCTTTTGGGGACACCTGGGTGGCTCAGTTGGTTAAGTAGCTGACTCTACATTTTGGCTTGGGTGATATCTCAGGTCCTGGGACTGAGCCACAAGTCAGGCTCCCTGCTCAGCGAGAAGCCTGCTTCTTCCTCTCCCACTCCCCTGCTTGTGTTCCCTTCTCGCTGTCTCTCTCTGTCAAATAAAAAAAATCTTAAAAAAAAAAAAAAAAAAGAGCAAAACAATCCAAATGTTTATCAGCTGGTGAATGGATAAACAAAAATGTATATCCACACAACAGAATATTATTAGCAATAAAAAGCAAAACAGTTGATACGTGCAACATGAATGGATCTCAAAAACATGCTAAGTTTAAAAAAAAAAAAAAAAAGCCAGACACAAAAAACCACATATTGTATGATTCCATTTATATGAAATATCCAGAAAAGGAAATCTATAGTCAGGAAGTAGATTAGTGGTTGGCTGGGTGTACAAAGGGGGACTGACTGTAAGTGGATACGAGATATCTTTTTTAGGGAAGCTGGAAATGTTCTAAATGCACACTGTATTGATGGTTGTACAATTCTGTAAGTTTGTTAAAAATCACTGAATTGGTACATATGAGTGAGGTAAATTTCATGAATTTAAAACAGCAGTCTTTAGTAACACAGTTAAAGAGAAAAGAATGTTAAAGATTTTTTAAGACTTCAATAGGTTCTACTTTTTAGTATGAGACCTAACATGCACTCATTCCAAAATATTTCAAAGAAACACAGTTTTAAAAACACAGGAAAAGGGCGCCTGGGTGGCACAGATGGTTAAGCGTCTGCCTTCGGCTCAGGTCATGATCTCAGGGTCCTGGGATCGAGTCCCGCATCGGGCTTCCTGCTCCTTGGGAGCCTGCTTCTCCCTCTGCCTCTCTCTCTCTGTCTCTGTCTCTCATGAATAAATAAATAAAATCTTTAAAAAAAATAAAAAATAAAAATAAAAACACAGGAAAATTCTCTAAGAGAATACATTTAATTCATCTGGATATATATACATATAAAATAAAGCATATAAAATTGTTGCTTGGCTCTCTCCTAAATGTTTCATTAAAAAATAATTGATCTCATGTGCTTATTTTGGCTGATAATAAAAATGGTCCTAATTAAGAAGGTATGAAGATATGACTACAAAGTAATACTGGGTGATTCAAAAAGAACTATTTTTAAAAAATAATTCCTCAGGGGCGCCTAGGTGGCTCAGTCGTTGGGCGTCTGCCTTTGGCTCAGGTCATGATCCCAGAGTCCTGGGATGGAGCCCCACGTCGGGCTCCCTGCTCAGCAGGAAGTCTGCTTCTCCCTCTGACCCTCTCCCGTCTCATGCTCTATTTCATTCTCTCTCTCAAATAAATAAATAAAATCTTTTAAAAAACAAAATAAAAGCTGCTTCTCTGGGGTGCCTGGCTGGCTCAGTGAGTAGAGCACCAGACTCTTGATCTCAGCATTGTAAGTTCAAGCCCCACGTTGGGGGGGGGGGGGGGTTGAACTTGTAGAGATTACTTAAAACTAAAATCTTAAAAAAAAAAAAAAAAAAAAAAGTTGTTTCTCTAATAACCTGTACTTTCATTTCCTACACTTGTCTTTCTCTCTCCACAAAGAAACGACAGGGCCATGCGAACCCTGACCCACCAGCTGTTATCCAACTTCAACAGAGCACATGACATTTCTCAAAAACCTTTTTACCCACCTCTTATCAATTGTTTCTCATTCTCTACAAAGATTATTTCAAACATTTTCCCCTCTTCCTCAAAATTCTGAACTGATTCCCCCTCTTCTTGGAAGGGCTTAAAGAGGAGCAAATCTCTCTATTCTATTCTACTATAGTTCCCTCTTTTCTTCTCTTATTCTTTGTAGTATTTGAGCCACAAATACAAGTGGATTTTATCAGGTCTACATTTGTAATTTTTCCCTCAAGGTGATTCTACATCCTGGTGCAAAGACAGGACTACTTCATTATGTCATCCACTGTGGGTGAGGCCCATGCAATCACATTTTAAAATAAGTAAGTTACTATGAATTATTTTATTTTTCCCCCAATATATTAAATTGGGGCATCATACTGCTTTTTAAATTTATATATACAGATGTTTATACATATTTATGTATAAAATATTACCTGTAGATTTCATTTCAGGATAAAAAAGAAAACACTATAAAATATATATTTTTTAAAAAGGGAGAGTTGGGGGCATCTGGGTGGCTCAGATGGTTAAGCATCTTCCTTCAGCTCGGGTCATGATCTCCAGGTCCTGGGACTGAGCCCCACACTGGGCTCCCTGCTCAGGGGAGAGTCTGCTTCTCCCTTTCCCCCTGCTCATGCTCTCTCTCAAATGAATAAACAAAATCTTAAATAAATAAATAAAATAATAAAAAAGGGAGAGTTGAGTCTGAAAAGGATGAGAGAACCACTCTGTCTGATAAAGCACTGTTTATCAAAATGTATGAACAGAAGTCAAAATTATAGACTGACACTTGCTTCTGGATACTCTCCGTGTCTTTGACAACTTCGTGGACTATTTCTTCTTTACCTCCTTAATGGAAATTTCTTTATTCTAAATGTGGAGTCCACCAAAGTTCTGTCATCCATCCTTACCCCTTAGTAAACCTCATCTACTACCAACGTGGATTAATACTGCTGTATGGCTGACTTTCTGGCCTCCATTTTACAAAGTACACAATTTACATTTCTAGATGCCTGTTGGATATTCCACCCTTGATATACAACTGACCACTTCAATCTCAAAACTTTTCATCTGCCCCTATAGCAGCTAGTTCATCTGTCTTTCCTATTTATACAAAAGTTATTCATACTCAAAATCTATGAATCAGTTTTTACATTCCTCTCTACTTCTCTCTTTACACCCAACCAGTCTCAATGTCTAGTTAATTCTTCTTTTAGGGATGATGTCTAGAATCTGTCCTTCTCTTATTAATGTTTTCATTAAGGTTCTTATCTCACTCCTAGACTACTGCTTCCTAATTTGGCTTCCCACCTCTAGGTCCTTCTCACTTTAATCCATCCTTGCAGCTACTGTCAGATCAGTATTCCCAAAACATCACTCTGATTATGTTATCCCTTCACTGCTTTCCAATTCGCTTCCAAAATTCAATAAAGTCTAAATTCCTCTGCAATTCGAGACCTTTATCATCTGGCTCCAAGTTACCTTTCCAATTTAATCTTTTACTATCTC